CGCCGCCGCCGCCGCCGCGTCCTGGGAGCCAGGCCGGCCAAGCGGCCCTTCGCGGGGCAGGAGCCTCGTTTCGGAGCGGGCGCCTCTCGCCGACCCGGTTCCGCCCGCGGATCCGCTCTTCGGGCCGCGCGATGCCCCGGACCGCAAGTGGAGCCCGGCCGAGGGACTAGAATAGCTTCGCTTTGGCCAGCCTGGGCCCTGAGTAAGGCGGGGCCCGGATTCGGTCGGCTTCTGTCGATGCGCAGGAGGAGGCTGTGGATTTGCCCGACCCTCTTTTGGCGGAGGGAGGGATGGCAGGGCCAGCTGCGGGATGCAGGACAGGGCTGGGGGCTGCTGCAGAAGCCTCCATCCCCGCCTCCCCGTCCCCAGCAAGAAAAAGGAAATCCGCCGGCTTGCCAGAAGCCTGGAGACATCCACGGACCCGGATTCCGCCCCTGCACTGTGTGCGGGAAGGTTGGAGACCAGACAGGCTGGCCACACACACAGGCTGGGGTGCTCCGCAGTTGCGCTTGGGGAGCAGGACTAGGAAGCAGTTGCAGAGATCGTGAGGGGGAAGATTTGCACCGGGGCCTTTCATTTTCCCCACATCTCAAAGGGGGTTTGTCCACCATCCTCCCCATGCGGGCGCTGCGTAGAGACTCCTCTTAGCTAACCGAGTCTGCTGATTCTGACATGGACTTATTGCCCCGGATGTAAACTTTTTTTGTCTTCCTAAAGCCGCGCACCACAGAGCAATTGGGAGAGAGATTACTGTATTATTCAGTTCGGTCATTTTAATGCTATCGCCCACTTAGAACATTATGGACGGATATAGTAGAAGTGTGTCTCATAAATAAATACATTACTAGAACGGATTTTCTTAAAATCAAAGAATATTTTTCCCCGAGGCCTCCTGAAGTGATGGAAGAGACTAAGAACTTGCAACGCCCTTGTGAGGAACGGTGGTGTGACTGGGGCTGTTTAACTGTGGGCAGAATGATGGAGGGGGCGTCTTTCTCCCTTTCTCATGACGCCTGAATATGAGAAACAATGGAATTTGCTACGCCAAGATGCAATGCTGGCCAGCTGTTGGACAGCTTTAAGGGGGGCTTGATGGAGGAGAGGATTAGCAATGGCCGCCAGTCCAATAGCTGTATGGCTGCCCCTGTCAGGCACTGTGCCTGCATTTGCCAGTTGCTGGGCACCCAACCTGGAGGGTGCCCAGTGGATGTCTGGGTGGCCACCCTGAGAACAGAATGCTACACTTTCTGCCCAGGACAGTGTTTGTTCCATTCCTAATCACAAAGGGCTGAAGCAGATCCCCTATGAAACGAAAGGCTTCTCCATACAGCACATGCTGGACCTTCCTACCACAAGATGTGGTGATGGTCACCAACTAAGCCTGCAACCCTCTGTGCCCTTGCCTGGGAGTTCTTTCTATTGAACTCAGAGGGCTTTAAAACTGTTGGGTTACAAAGTCACGGAGAATTGGGCAATCCATGGCTATTAGTTACAAAGGCTACCTCCAGCTTCATGGTTTCCTCACTGGGTGAGTGGAAAACAGCTGCAGGAGGGCCATTGGCCTCATATCTGGCTTGAGGGCTTCCCAGGGCATTTTGATGGCCTTTGGGATCCAGAGGCACTGTGTAAATTGGGAAATATAAGTAGTGGATATAACTGCCTGGAGATTCACTCTGCAGCACCTTGTTGTACAAGCTCAAAATTCCAATGTTTGTAAGTGCTCCAAGCTATGGCTATGCAGACCTCACAGCTCTCCTGGATTTCCAGACCATTTATGATTTAAATGTAGAGGCTGCATGCTGGCAGAGGTTCTACTAACTGCAAGCATTTCTGTCTTGCTTGAACTAAGTTTCCGTTGGGGAGTTAGCACTTGCTCTATTACCAGTAACAGCTTAGATGGTAGAACCTTGGATGTCTTCTCCCACAGGCTTAAGAAGAAATTTAAAAACCTGAACCACAATATTTATTTGTGAAATTTCTACACCACGCACTAGCCAATGCTCTCTGAATGGTTCAAAAAATTAAAGTTCAAAAATACAGCATGGTAAAATATAAAACTTGAGACGCCAGAATTGTTCAAGCAGAAAGTTCCGGCCCTTTCCACCTGGTATTTGCTGCAAACTGTCCTATGCCAGCGGTCCCCAACCTTTTTGGCACCAGGGAGTGGTTTTGTGGAAAACCATGTTTCCACGGGCAGGAGGGGAAAGTGAATTAATCCGTTCACAGACCCTAAACAATACGCATTTCGATAAACTTAAACAGCGAATACGGCCTCCTGAAACGAATTAAGTTCGAGGTTATATATGGGGGGGGTGCCCAAAAAATATGGCGAATGTTTAAACTTAAAACAAAATTACAGTAAAAGACACCCTGCCATCAGTCCCCCTCAAGCTGCGCCCGCGGGCGTCGTGCACACTCACCCGCCGCCCGCCAGTGTCCCGGGTGGCGCTGCCACGGCCGCCTCCATGCCCTGAATCGACTCCGGATAAATGGATTCCGCACAAGATGAACTGAGTCAAGCCATAGGGATTCGAGCGCAGGTGAGGCAATTCAAGATGAATGGATTCAAGGCAAGACGAGTCGATTCAAGATGAATGGATTCAAGGCAAGACGAGTCAATTCAGGACATCAAGGCCTGCAATATACTTTTGCCGACTTGGGTGCACAAGCGATGCCGTTCTCGCTGTGACCACATTTTTCCCCCTTCATTCAGTTTGAGTTCAGAGGCACTATTGCGGAGCGATCTTGTCTCGGCTCTCACCTCCAGACTCTGGATCGGTCGCAGTTGGAGCCCTGCTGAGCGGCCCGGTTACTATAGGCCATGGCCTGGTGCTGGTCGGTGGTTGGGGCTTGGGGACCCCCGTCCTGAACGATAGTGCCCCTTTGCACTTGCAGTCCTAGCCTGGACTCACTTTCCTCACTGCACTAGTTAATGTACTAATATTTAGCAGAAGGAATACCAAGTATCTCCTTTCCCGTTACCATTTACTGGTCCAGCTGCCTCCCTAGCTGGGTTTGGGTGAGAAACCTGTACAGCAAAGAAAGCTGCCCGGAAGAAAATTAATGCATTTTCTTCCACCCACCCAGCGTGGTGTTAGGGGAGAACTTTGTAAATACCCTGGACTGACAGAAAGTGGCGTCTACATAAGATCAAGCCAGAACTTACCCCAGAAGCAAAAACGGCAGAACCACAGCCTGACCTGCACTGGCTGTTTGAGAGTGCCCACAAAAGACTGTCAGAGGGCAGCCTGAGGGCATCTTGGGAGATACAAGAAGGGCGGCCATGTTGGGCCACAGCCCTCAAAGCCACTACCTCCTGGTGGAGACTGGGCACAGTCCTGGCCCAGCTTGGTCATTCCTCTGCTGCCGGCCTGGGTGGCCACAGTGCCCTGATTTATTTATTTAAAACTTTTATATGCCATCTCTTAAGCATGGCATCTCAGGACCATCTCAGGGTTCTGGAAAGGGTTGATGTGCCCTTGAGCAACATCTGGTTCTGTTTGAATTAAACATTTTCTGTGTCTTTCCAGGTCAAAGGACTCTCTGCCACCAGAGTGAGGACCTGAATATAGTAATCTTAGTAAACCCAGATGAGCAGAGCACTATCTCAGAGGTAAAGCACGTGGATGGGGAACTTGCTGGTCAAAGTTGCTGCACTCGCATGCAAGCAGAGCTCCTCCTGACCTTTGAGGAACTGGCTCCACACTAAATGTTCAGGAAGGGTGGCCTTCAGCAGAGCTGCTCCTAAAAACTGCAGCACAAACTTCCAAAAGCCAAGCCGTTTCCTGCTTTTCATCCATGCCTGTTACCTAATTCAGCTGCAGTGCGCAGCTTCTTCTAGCCAGGCAGGTGAGCATCTGAGAACTGCATCCACAGCCATGCCTGTTTCACTCCAGCCCTATTTTCCTGTTGGGGACTAAGGTGAGACAGGCATTTTATTGCACATTCACTAGATTGCCAAGCACAAGTATGTTTAGGCAAGAAGCTAAGCTGCTTCTCAGTGGCTGCATCTTGCCAGACCCAAGGGCTGGCTTCGCCAAAATGGGAACAGCTAGTATCTTGAAAATCCGAAACTAAAAATGTTTTAATAAATAAATAAATAAATAAATAAATAAATTCCATCTCCCATATGAACAGGTTCGTTCCTTGGTATGCGACCCTTCTGCCCACAAGCTGTTGGTCCTGTGTGGGCAGAGCTCTGACCAAGAAGGAGATTTGATCTTGCAGACTGGGACCTTCAACTTCCAGAAATTTGCAAAAATAGTTGCAGATCCAGAGGTAAGCCTGATAGGTGGGTGACCTAGGACTGGTGTGCCCAGTGCTCAGACTGGCTTTGGAGGCCTTCTGCCCTTTCTGGCCCTACCTCGTGTCTGCGTCTCTGTGTTACACTGGGGTCTCATTTGCTGCTGCCCCTGTGAAACCACCAGCATATCCAGTGCTGGGACCAAGGCTGCCTTAAATGAGGCCAGTGGCTGGCACATGCCACAAAGATCCACAGAACTTCAGGATGTGTCAGAACTCTGTAAACCTGGTTTCTGGCAGCTTGCAAGATCAGGACGCAGTCCACTTTCTTTGAGGCCTCCTTTGAGATGATCAATAGGAATATTACCTGAATGTGCTTATTTGCCCATCTAATGTACATGTCTATCCACAAAACAGTGTCTTGGCCACCCAGGTATGTTTTCTTTTTCATCCTGCGACCAAAAACGAACACAGGCATCTTGCTGAAAATAGATTAACTAGCACGTTTCCAGTTCTAAATAGAACTTGAATTTGTTTAGACTTCAGCAAAAAGATGCCTTGCCAAGATCACCTGATGCCTGACGATGAGCTGCTCTTAACTCTTGCAGGTTGCCCAGCTTCTCAGCAACGCTGACCCAGGTTCCAAGACTTCCTTCACAGTGTCGTGCTCAGGAGAGGGAGACTGGGGTAACCTGGGACACCCCCAGTTCCAGAATCTTCTCAATCTGCGAGTGAACCCTGACCCGATCCTACCAGAAATGGATGGAGTCTCCGAATTTGCTGAGTACGTCTCCGAGACGGTGGATGTTCCATCACCCTTTGATCTCCTGGAGCCCCCAACTTCTGGGGGCTTTCTAAAGCTCTCCAAGCCCTGTTGCTACATATTCCCTGGAGGGAGGGGCGATTCAGCTCTTTTTGCTGTCAATGGTTTCAACATCCTGGTGGATGGAGGCTCTGAGAGGAAATCATGTTTCTGGAAACTGGTCCGCCACCTGGACAGGATTGACTCAGTTCTGCTGACCCACATTGGGGCCGACAACCTTCCAGGCATTAATGGGCTCCTCCAGAGAAAGATTGCGGAGCAGGAAGAGGAGCAGTCACAGGGCTCCACCAGTTACAGTGACTGGATGAAGAATCTCATCTCCCCTGAGCTTGGAGTTGTTTTCTTCAATGTTCCTGAGAAGCTCAGAACGCCAGAGTCCTCCATGAAGGTCAAGAGAAGCATTGAAGAGGCAAGCCTGACACTGCAGTACCTCAGCAGGTTGGGCGTGAAGCCAGAGCCGCTCTACAGAGTTGTCAGCAATACCATTGAGCCCATCACCTTGTTCCACAAAATGGGTGTGGGGAAGTTAGACATGTACATCTTGAACCCCGTGAAGGAAAGCAAGGAGATGCAGTTTCTCATGCAGAAGTGGGCTGGGAACAGCAAAGCCAAGACAGGCATTATCCTAGCCAGCGGGAAAGAAGGGGAGATTTCTGTCCCCTACTTGACATCCATCACAGCCTTGGTTGTGTGGCTCCCAGCTAGTCCCACAGAAAAAATAGTACGTGTTTTGTTTCCAGGAAATGCTCCACAAAATAAAATTTTGGAAGGCCTCGAGAAGCTAAAGCATCTGGATTTTCTGAGGTATCCCATAGCTACACAGAAGGAACTGGCTTCTGGAATGTCCTCACCTGCCCTGAAGCAGAGCAGGATTAAACATCGGACCGACAGCAAAGAGAGTCTCAAGTCCTCCGCCAAGCCGCCTGTGACCAAGGCAGCTGCTGAGGAAACAAAAGCCGAGACGCTAAAAGAGGCAAAAACTGAGAAAAAGGTAAAAGAACCCTCTGAAAAGCTCCCTGAGAAGCCTGCTAAAACAGAAAAGCTGAAAATGGATTCTAGTGACACCCTTAAAGCGGAGAAAAGAAAACTTGCCAAAGACAAAGTTGGCAAGAAACATCTCAAGGAGAAAGTTTCCAAACTGGAGGAGAAGAGAGACAAAGAGAAGAAAGACAGTAAGAAAGAAAGGAAGGAATTTAAGAAGGATGATGGAAAGAAAGAAGAGAAAAAAAAGGAAGCCAAACCAGAGTTGAAAAAAATGTCCAAGTCCGACTTAAAGCCTTTCACTCCTGAAGTGAGGAAGACCTTATATAAGGCAAAGGTTCCTGGCAGAGTAAAAACTGAGAAATTCTGCAACAAAGCCGAGAAGGACATTCCTGCAGAACAAAAGCCAGTACTTGTGTCAACAAAACCTTGCCCACCTCAGGAACCAGGAGACCTGGTTGAGCAGCTTGTTTTGTCATCGCCAGAAGACTTGACCAAGGACTTTGAGGAACTGCGGTCTGAAGAGCCAGCGAAGCCTCAGGGTGTGCTCACTACAGTCAAGAGAGAAGCTGACTTCAAGCAGTCAAGAGAACAAGGCCCTTGTGAAGTGGCTACTCAGAAGGATGGCCTGAGGGCAGAAGAAATCAGCCCCCAGATGCCTCCTTCCCTAGCTGCACCAGAAGAGGAAATAACCTCACCTAGAAGAGGAGCCGAAGAAGCAAGGAAAACGCCTGGGAGCCCTGACAAGGGAGCAGCCCTGGAGGAACCTCTTGAGAGAAGAGAATGTGATGAGAACTTTGCAAAAAGGGTAACAGCAGGAGAGGAGCGAGATCAGATGCTGGCACCCAGTGATTCCCCAGGCCAGTTACCTCAGGAGGAAGAAGAAATTACTGCGTCCAAGTGGAAGACTGCAGAGGCAAGAGAAGATAGACAAACTCAGCAGGGGGAGGATGTGATAGAGAAGGCAGAGCTGGAAGGGGCCGAAGAGCACTGTGAGAAGGAAAAAGATGAAGAGGTGGCGAGGAGAGATTTTGCTCAGCAAGAAGGCCCAACCTTGCCCTCTGAGGAACAAAGGAAAGTGCTGAAGGATGAACGGGCAAACCGAAGTAAAGTACCCGGAAGGCCAGCAATGATGGAGGAGGAGGAGGAATCCTGTCTCGGCACTGCTCCTGTCCCACCAGGAGAACATGTTTCCTACATCCAGGATGAAACCATCCCTGGCTACTCAGAGACGGAGCAGACCATCTCTGATGAGGAGATTCATGATGAGCAGGAGGAGCGGGTGCTGCATCTCAAGCCGGACGTTGGCTCCTTTGAAGTTGCTGTCCCAATCCAGAGAGGCTCCTTTGAAGCCATCCACGGCTTGGCAGCTACTGCCACTGAAGCTGCCAAAGCCTTTGCTGGCCAAGAACCTGAAATCCTCACCTATCCCACAAACATTGTGGCTGCCCCCTTGGCAGAGGAGGAGCACATCTCCTCGGCCACGTCCATCACAGAGTGCGACAAGCTCTCTTCCTTCGCCACATCCGTTGCAGAAGACCAGTCCATTGCCTCGATAACAGCTCCACAGACAGAGGAGACCGGAAAAAGCTCTTTGCTGCTGGATACTGTCAATAGCATACCTTCCTCTCGAACTGAGGCCACCCAAGGCCTGGACTACATTCCCTCAGCTGGCACCATCTCTCCCACATCTTCACTAGAGGAGGACAAGGGCTTTAAGTCGCCACCTCCAGAAGACTTCCATACACAATCTGAAAGTGAGAGAAAATTGGAAGCCAGCAAAAGGGGATTGCAACAGGAGGAGGAGGAGGAGGAGGTGGAGGAGGAGGAGGAGACCCCCAACGTTGAGAGGCCTTGGAGAGCCGAGGGACAGTATGATGCCCCAGTGTTTTCTCAGCAAACCCCGCTCAGAGGTGGCTTAACTGAAGGGACCTTGGAAGGTGCTCAGGAAGACGTGTTGCTGCTGGACCAAGGAGGGGCCCCGTTACTACAAGTAGAGGCAGGCACTGTGGAGTCGGAGGAGCGATGCCTGAGCCCTGATGACAGCACAGTCAAGATGGCATCCCCCACTCAGTCAGGCCCCACCAGTGCTGGACACACACCATTTCACCAGTCTCCCGTGGAGGAGAAGTTGGACACAGTAGAGACAGAACTGTTTGAAAAGGCAGCAGAAGCTCCCACAAAGTGGGATGAAGGGGACCGCACTGGCAGCACTTTGGAAGGCGAGGGCATTCCTGCCAAGCAACAGGCCTCGGCTCTTCTTCAGGACAAGCCTGGCTCAGGCAGCACTTCCTCCCAGCTAGCTGAGTTGATACACTCCCAGACTGGCCATCGGACTCTGCCCCTTGAAAAAGAGGAGCTGGCAATAAGCTTCTACCACAAGCAAGAAACCTTTGACATCTCTGATCTGTATCCTCCCACCAAAGATGCACCTCTGGAGCCCAGAGAGAGCTCTCTGTCTAAGGGAGCCAACACCAACGAGGAAGTATCTCCCAAAAGTGTACAGTGCTGTGGGGACGAGCTGTTGACTCCTGCAGAAATCCCTCCTCCAAATGGGTGGGAGGAATTTGCAGACAGACCTGAAAATGAACATCCTTTGCAGACATCCATGAAAAATATTACAGAGGAAGGAAAACCATTCCCTTTTACTGAAGAAATCCCTGTGGAGGCAAAATCTTCATCTGATTCCATCCAAGAGGTATCACAAGAAGATGGGACATCATGGCATTTCACAGACTACAACTTGGATCAAGCAAAGTCTTTGATCAAACATGTTTCTCCAGAAAGTAGCAAAACTTATGTGAGCCTTGGTGAAGAAGCCCCTTCACACTTGTTCACAGAACAGATTTCTCAAGAAGACACTGAACATCTATTTACAGAAAAGTTCCCTGCTAAAATGCCCTCACCAGACACATTCACCAAAGAATTCTCTCCTGAAGTGAGACACCAAACTGATACAGAGCAGAGCTTAGCTAAAGGTGAAGAATCAAAAGCTTCTGTCCAAGAGGACGTCCCCAATTCCCTTTCCTTCCCTGTGCAAAGACCCTTTCAAGACAGCCACGCCACGCCTTCTGCAGATCCTTTTCTAGAAAATGCCGTGTCCTTTTCCCCAAGTGAAGAAAAGCCTATCAAAGACATGTCTCCAAGACACTCCTCCAGAGAAATCTCTCCAGAGGTGATGTCCTCAAGCTTCACAGAAGCAAGCCCAACTCTAGACAGGGAAACCTTGGCAGTTTCTTCTGGAGAGATGATGGGGCCTTGTTCATTCCTGGAAGAAAGCCAAGACACAGAAGATGAGCAGTCTCCAGAAATGGAGGACTTTTATCTGAAAGATGCAAACCACGAGAAGAAAGTGTGGTTTCCAGAGGAGATGAAGGACGGGCAAGGCGAAGAACAGCGGCCAAAGTATGAGAAAGAAAGGGGGGAATGCACCTTTTTGGATGATGACTTTGGGAGAGATGAAATCAAGACTCCACTTTCTGCAGTCGAAGAGGGAGGGATTCCCTACTCTGTGGAGCACGAACTGGCAGAGAAAGACATTTGGGAAGAAATGATCACTCGGAAGCAAGAAACTTCTCCCAAGAATGGCTTTCCACATATGGGCGATGAGCCCGTAGCTCAGCAGATGACAGAGGAGCCTTCTGCTCAACTGGAGACAAATGCTAAGCAAAGTGTGCTTGACGCAAAGGAATCTGAAACACCTGACTTTGTGATTCTGCCCTCCCCGGGGCATGAGAGTGAGCCAACGTCCAGCCTGCAATGGGCCACTCTATCGCACCCACAGCGGGCCTTGGTGTCCACTGTGATGGACAGCAGGGAAGAAGTTCCACAGCAGATTGCCACCGAGCGATGCTCTGACGCCATGGGTGGAGCGGTGGGCGCCTCTCCACCACCTCCTGCTTTGGAAGTGGAGCAAGCAGAGCAGGCGAAGCCTTCTGCAGCGGACCAGAGCATGGACAAATTCCCTCCAGGAATTGTAGAGAAGGGGTCAGAGGCTGATGTTCTGCACAAAGGACAGGTGGACCACAAAGAGAGGCCAGATAGGAAGCAAGATACTGAGGAGAGCTCTTATGATCGCTTTGGGGAAAGTCACGCACAGAAGATGGTGAGTGCAGCTCCTCTGAGCACAGCTGGAGAGCCAGAGGAAAAGCCACAGTCCCCTCCATGGCAAGACCTCGGAGGAAGCAGAGCCTCTGCGAGCTCTTCACAGGGCACGATCCCTCTGGGGCCTCTGGAGTGGCGCCTGCAGCCCAGCACTATGGGCCCATCCCATCCTTTTGAGCTTTGCGAATCCATGGAGGATGCCGAGGAGAGAAGGAAGGGGGAGAGAGAGCCAACCCCCTTTCCTCATGAGAAGACGTTTCAGTATGCAGACGTCTGTGGGGAGGACGTGACAGCTGGCATCGGCTACTTCGGCAAGGATGCCATGCTCAAGGAAGGGAAAGCACCCAGGTCCCAGAAAGGCCCTCTGTACCCGATCTCCTCCAAGGAAGAGGAGTCGTGCCGATACACCTCTACTGAGAAAGAGCTCTCATCTCCTGCCTCCCCCAAAGATAGGGCAGAGGCCTTTTTTCAGTATGCAGAAGATCATGAGCATGGCCATCCCGCCACAGAGAAGCGCAGCGACCCCTGTGGCTTGATCTCCGGGTACATGCGGCATGAGGACAACCTTGCAAGCTCACCAGGCTTTCTTCCAGAATGTCTGCTGAGCCCTCAGCCTGCATCCCCTCTGGGAGACAAAGGTTCCTCCTGTCCCACCAATGATACCTTAAAGCAGGAAGAAACGGCTGTCTGTAGGGGAGATGTGCCTGAGTCAGGTGCAAATGTCAGCCCAGAGCCGAGGTCTCCTTTTGCAAAGCACTTCCAGTCCAAGGACGTTCATCATGAGAAAGCCAGAAAAGGAGAAGAGAGCGCCAGTGACTCAGAGTTGGAGAAAGGGGCCAAAGAAGAGTCAGAAAAAGAGTTTCAGTATCCAGGGCTTTCCTCAGCTCTGAAGCCCTCCAGCGTGAAGGAGCCTTATGTAGACATTTCCGGACAGGAGAAGGACTGTGTTGCAGCACCGTGGCAAGAAGCCCACAGTGCGTCGTTGAGAGAAGAAACTCCAGCAGAGAGCGCAGCCCTGAAGGAGGAAGACGTCACCTCTGGCAGCCTCATGGATTCAGGTAGACGAAGTCCGGCCCCAGTCTCGACTGCAGCTGTCTCTGCAGACACTGCAGCAGGCCTGTGCACCAAGGAGGAAGAGGAGGCCTTGCGTGGAAAAGAAGCCAGAGATGCTGACGCGAAAAGGACCTGCTTCCCCACAGCCATTAAAGAGAAGGAGCATCCAAAGGGCTCCGCTATTCTGCCCAAAGGCCTGGACTGCTGCTCTTCTGGCTTTGAACTCTCTTCGCTAGGAAAGCACGAGCCGTCCATTCTGCTCAGACATGAAGCCCATTCCTCATCCCAGCTGTGGGACAGAGCTCACCCTCCAACCATACCTGCTCATAGCTCCTCGGAAAAGAGGGATGCGTGTTTGGAAGTGTCGAGAAAGGTCCCACCGCCAGATCCGAATGAAAGAGAGATCCGTGGGGCTCCCCCGGAGGAAAAGCCAGGCAGGGCATCATTGCCCCCTCCTGCAGAGGCTGAGAAAACGTCCCCGGAGGCTTCCCCTCTAGCGAGTCAGGCCTCAAGGGAGAGCGCCTCTCCCAGCGTCCTGCCAGGAGCAGCTGCCCTGGAGCTGGAGCCCTGGCGCCTGCAGGGTGTCTCTGCATTGCTTCCGGAAGGTTCCACACAGGCATTGGCCAGGGAACCGGGCAAGGTTGCCTCTCCCAGCACAGCGAGTGGGAGCCCCCCGCACACACCGTCCACGACCCCCCAGCCCCTGGGATGGGGGTGCACAGTGAGCTGCGCGGTGTCACAGCTGCCGAGCCCTGGAATGTGGCCAGCAGACGCATCCCTCCCAGGCATCCCGGCACCTTCTCCCTGGCATCAGCAGGCCTTTGCCACCGCCAATGGCCCCACAGAGGTGAACACTGGCCAGCCTGCTTTCCAGGGTGTGCTGCACAGCACAGAGGAAGCAAGGGGGAGGACTGACGAGGAGGAGAGCTGCAAAAGGCGAAGCCCCCCCTCTTCCCTCCTAACTCCCCCACCCTTTTCCCCAGACACTCAGCAGGGCAGCCAAGCAGAGGACCGCGGGGATGTCTCCCTTGCGTTGGACTCGTGCTTGGGAGCTACCTCAGAATATGGGCAGAAGTTCTCCTCTGAGTATAAACAGAGGAGGGGTGAATTATCCCCTTCGTTCATCAACCCAAGTCCTCACGATTCATCGGCAGAAGACAGTGAATTCTCACAGGCCGAAGATCATCCTTCAGTGAAGGGGAAGCCTCATTCTGTTCCCGCTGGCCACAGACAAGCCCCCACCATGGTGGAAGAAACGCCTCCCACCTCGGCAAGCGACTCTGGAACCTCTCAGTCGGACTCGGACGTTCCTCCAGAGACAGAGGATTGCCCCTCCATCACAGCGGATGCCGCCATGGACTCGGATGAAGACGCCGATTTCCTCCCAGTGGACAAGGCTGTGGGCAGCTCACACCACAGCAGCAGCAGCAGCAGCAGCACGAGGCCTGGCCACGACCCACAGCCCGCTTCCCAGGTGGACCCCCATCCCCACCCTCCACACCCAGACGTCTGCATGACGGACCCTGAGATGCTGCTGAATGAGCAGAACATGACTAGGCCAGAAAAGCTGACCAAGAAGGACCTGAAGGAGAAAACCAAAGGCGTGAGGAAGTCACAGGGCAAGCCGAAGGCCCTTTCCCCGGCTCGGAAGCCAGAGAAATGGTCACCCAGCCCCATGAAGCCACTATCAGACCGGTCTGCGAAGCCGTCCTTGGCAAGGAAAGAGAGACTGCCCAAGCCCCACGTGGAAGAGAAGGATGAGGGCTCCCGAGGTGGCCATGCCAACCCAGCCAAGGGCCTCACCAGTGGCCCCAAAGCAAGTTCAGGTAAGCCAGTTCTGGGAGGATCGTGTGGCTGGGAGAGCCTCGGCAGAGGAATGGGCTCTGGGGCCCCCAGCACGAGCACGGGCTGACTCGGAAAGAGCCCCTTTCTCTTCCTGACATCTCGGCCCTCCCTTCAGTGCACCTGGAGGTGGAAACGCCCAGTGTGGACCAGGTATCCTCCGGCTGCAGCAGGATCCAGCAAGCCGGGGCGATGCCTATTTCCAATGCAAGGAATGCACAGCGCATCTCTCATGACAGGGCACACAGGACAGTGCTGGGACAGGGGCATTGTGGGAAAGGGAAAGGGCAGCCAGGTCCACCTGCTGGCTGCTGCTCGGTGCCCAGCAGTACCAATTTGCAGATGGGGGAGGTCCGTTGCTTCCGTATGGAATGTCTGGAGGGCTCCCTTTCATCCTCCAGCAGGTGGTCGCAAAGAGAACCAACAGCTCCCCAGCGGAACAGTCGATCCCTTGACAGGCGCCTCATTAGTCCGCCACCTACAGAACAGGAGCAGCCTCCCGGTCAAGTCCAGGGAGCGCCCCTCTCTGTGCGCTTGCGCGACTTCTCAGGGTGCAACCTACCCTGGGCCAGCTCCATGACGGCAGATGTTGAAATAAGGCAGCCGCATCCTTCCCCTGCACTCTGCACTCTGCACTCTTTCCAGGTGGAAAGAGAGGGACGCTCCCTGAACTTGATGGGGGCCTCCTTGAGCTGCCCCCTTTTCAGCCTAGCCAGCATGGGAGATAAGCTGCTAATGGGTCTGGGTGTGGGGGTCTGGGGTCTGCTTTCCGCCTGCAGCCCGCTGGGACGCCCCACCAAGGAGAGCCTGCCTAAACAAGCCCCTTGGAAAGAAATGCCTGTGGCAGACGGGGCACTGAACCGGAAGGGGATGCTGCAGCAACCCCTTCTGGCTGCCCCCATGGGGAACGTCCTTGGCAAAGCGAGGAGGAGGTTGAATGTTCCATTCCAACCGAAACGTTCTCCCCGCAGCTTCCGGCAACCCCAAAAGCAGCTCCTCGGGGCCTGTGGGGCTCCCCATCTACGTGGACCTGGCCTACGTCCCCAACCACTGCAGCGGGAAGAACACAGACCAGGAGTTCTTTAAGAGGGTGCGAGCATCGTACTACGTCGTGAGCGGGAACGACCCCAGCAGTGGGGAGCCCAGCCGGGTTGTTCTGGACGCCTTGCTGGAGGGAAAGGCCCAGTGGGGGGAGAACCTGCAGGTGAGTTGTGGGGACAGAGGGGTCCATCCTGGGGCTCCCCAGGAAGCAGTGGAGGCCCATGGAAAGTGGCTCCTCTTCCCAGAAAACACGAACTGAGCGTTGACTCAGCTTGTCCGTGCTGAAAGTTGGCCCAGTGGCGCTGCCACACAGGGCTGGTGGCCTCAGCCCCTGTCTCGCCCCAGTGCACATTCATTCCCACAGTCCAGTCCGTCCACCTCACTTCAGCCTGGAATAAGCCGAGCCCTGGCCAAGCCCACTAGCCACACGGCTTCGGGGCCCAAGCCATCCCGGAAGAGACAGCAAGTCAGCAGGGACAGCATTTCCAGCCTGCAGCCGCCGTGGCCAGAATTCACTCTAACCTGCCCCTCTGCTCAGTCTTGGCCCTCTCCATGCCCCCTGCCCAGCCCCGATGCTGTGCAGGTGCCCCCCCCCCCACAGGGCCAGAGCTGAGCCCACAGCCTGCCCTCACCTCCCGTCTCCCCAGGTAACGCTGATCCCGACGCACGACACGGAGGTGACCCGGGAGTGGTACCAGCAGACCCATGAGAAGCAGCAGGAACTGAGCATCATGGTCCTGGCCAGCAGCAGCACTGTGGTGATGCAGGACGAGTCCTTCCCCGCCTGCAAGATTGAATTCTGAGGGCCCTGTGGTAGCCAGCACTTACTCCTCATCGACTTCTCCACCTGTGCTCCGCACATGGAGACCCATCGCTCACAGCTCCGTTCCACTCCCCTACCTAAAGGTGACCTGAACTTGGAGGTGGCAGAGCCTGGCCTGCTTACAGCTCCAGCGTGCCGGGTTGCCCGGGATGTCTGGGGGCGTGCAGAGCGGAGGCTGTCCAGCTTGCCCATGTTTTCTTTACTGCATCCATCATCGCTGTAGGATAACTCGGATGCCTTGATTCTGCTTGCGCATATGCCCGCCCTCCCACCCGCCCTCCCACCCGCATCCGGGCAGGCCTGCCCGCCAGCCTCGCCTGACTCTGCCCTTGGGCGGCCTCTGGGGCAGCCAAGCTGTGCAGTGAGCTGAGACGCGGGACCAGGCATGTGGCGCAGGAAGCTGCTCCTCGGCCTCCGGAGGCATGAAGGAAGAGCTGGGCTGTGAGGGACCCAGAGATTGGCGGACTGACACCCAGCCTCTGAGCAGCTGTGCTGAAGAGGAGCCTTGCCCGCAGCACCCTGTAGGGGCCCGATCAGCATGGCCACCCGTTCCACCAGGAGCCCTGTGAGCCAACGGAGATGGGTGGGGGAGACACGGGATCGGGGAGGCGGTACCCCCAGGGAATGGGGACTGGGTTGCACTGGCTGGGAAACGCCTTTCACCTGCTGCCTGTGTGGACCGAGGGCCCAGGCCCCGCAGGGCTTTGTTCTGTGGCCCTCCCCCTCCCTGCCCCCCTCCGCTGCCCGTGATGCACAACCCTTGAGGGGAACCCTTGCGGGAACAGCAGCGAGGGCCATTTGCTCTTGCGACGCCCACACGCCCCTGCCGGGCCAGCCGTGCCTGCGCCTCAGTCAGAGGCGAGCACACCCTGGAGGCGATGAACGAGCAGGACGGGCTCTGCAAAGGCCTCCCCTGGCCGGGGGCGTGGGAAGCTCATCCCCCCACCCGCTGGCCAGCCGCTCAGCCGGCTGCGGGTGGCTTGGCGGAATGCCATAGGAACTGGGCTACTCTTCTGCCCATTGCCTGGTTTATGTATTCGTGCGTGCATATGTTTCGTTCCAGTGCAGCTGACTTAGCTGATGGGTGTGCTGTAGGTTCATGTGTGTTTCTCAAATATTTTGACTGTGCACTAACATTACACTGTAGACTGGTCACGTGTCCAAAGGCTCTGGGTGGACAGACACCCCCTCCTGTGGGTCGACACTGCAGGATCCCTCGGCTAGGTCAGTTGCACGCACCCAGGCACGGAGCAAGCGGCGATGGGAGCCCAGCCCAGCTCAGGCTTGTCCTGCCGGCTGGCCCTGCCCAGGCAGGACCCTGTGTCTCGGCAGGCGAGCTCATGCACTGACCCACCTATGAATGTGTCTCTCAAAACTTGAAGCAGGGAGGACGTGGGGGGAGACCCTTTGCTCCTTCCTGGAAGACGGTGCAGGGGGGAGCCCTTCCCCGCTTCCTGCTGGGCCCGAGTCTTACCTCCACCCCCCCCCACCCCTTGCCCCAGCCGCAGAGGCTTGCAGCATTACTTTTGTTTCAAGACTGGTGTCAGCACCTCCCTTCCGCACATTTTATGGCGAACCACGGAAAACTGCTCTTTATACAGCACTCGGCCAGAGCTGCCCAATTCCAAGGGAATGGGCTGTGAGCCCAGGAAGCCCACCGGAGAACGGCACTTAACTGCGGCGTTTGCTTGTTCTTGCATGTGGCTAGCAACGTGTGGTTACTACTGTGCATAATGCTCATTCCAAAGGCGCTGCAAAGATGCCGCCCTCTCCTGGATGGCTTGGAAGCAGCATCTGCACTGGCTTCCTTCTCTGCTGAATGCTGCCTGAACAGATCTCCACCCTGCATCATGTACAAGCCCACCCGGCGTCCTTCGGACCCCTCGCCCCATTTCTGTGTGCAATGCTGTCATTCTAGCGGTTGTGAAGGGAGAGGCCTGCACTAACCAATAAAGCCACATTAACTGTGACCCGGCCGCGGCTCCTGTCTTGCTTCCACAGGGGGCCACTGGGTTGGGTGCTGTCTGGCCCTTGGCCATCCGGCCGCCAGGCCCATCTCTGCCTTTGCGCCCATGAGCTGCCTCCCCCTGCTCTTCGCTGCAGGGGCAACACTCGGCCCAGCCGGCTCATCCTCGGCCACACGACAGCTGGCCACGCTGCGGGGCTGCACGTGTGTTTGGGCACAGGGGACAGCCTGACGAAGATGGAGCAAGACCCACTTCCCAAGCAGCTGCACCCAGGAAATCCAAGTCTCTTCTCTTCAAGCTGGCCGCACTTCTCGGGGCCGCTGCTGCACGTCCTTGCACCACAGTCTTCAGATCGCGGCCTTCTCTCACGGCACCTTCAGCCCATTTCCCTGATCAGGGCTTTTTCTCCAGCGGCTGGCAAGCTGAACTACAGCCTGTCCACCAGGGAGGGAGGGAGGGAGGGGGAAGGGGGCGCACGCGCATGCACTGCCACGCACATGCACCAAGCCCACACTGGCTGGCGAGGGAGAAGCGGCGCCTGGTCCCGCTGACAGGCCGCCCTTTCATTCCCGCAGCTGCCACTGCCGCCGCCGCCGCCGCCTGGCCCCAGCACCTGCTGCCCAAGCACGCCTCTGGCAGGCGGCCCGTAGCAGCTGCCTCGGCCGGAATGTCCCGCCGGCTGCAGGCAGCCCCTCGCCTCAGTCCATGCAACCTCTGTAGTGGAGGCAGTTCCCACTGGGGCCTGTGAAGGCGTCGCCTCAGGAGAGACACTTCGGCAGCCGGCTGCACATCCCAAGACACATTTTGGGAGGCAGGTGAAGAGCGCGCCCAAAGCTCACGGCGGTGGGTGCTTTCTCAGCAGGCGAGCCAGCTACGGCAAGCTCACTAGCCCTGCCATCCCACCTCAGGCCTTCAGAGCAAGGGCTCAGCACTACAGGCCACCCATTCCAAGGCACAGAATCCCTCCCGTCCCGCCCTGCCAAGCACACGGCCTGGGCACCTGAAAGCCGAGCCAGGCCCTTTCTCCAGAGCAATGGAGCAGGGCGAGCAGCTGGACAAGGCCCTGCCGCACACGGCACAGGACCTGGGATGCCAAGGGCCTCCGGGAAAGCCACCAGGCTGCCCCTGAAGCCGTCGTGACGGGCCACTCAGCACCCGCCCTGCCACACACATGCTCTGGCGCCGCCCTGCTGGAGCAGGCCAGCTGCACCCCGCAGCCGGGGCCAGCCAGCCTTCCTTCTTCCTTGGCCTTTCTGCTCTCAGTCTCGGAATTCCAGTCACAGGGGGCGCATGTGCGGATTCACAGGGAGGCAGATTCCATTATGAACCTCAGCAGATGTGTTAGGCTGAGCCCTCGGTACCCTCTGCAGAGACAAACCTCACAAGCAGGTACAGACTGAAACCCGCTACAAGCTCCCAGAACATGTAGAGTGTTCTGTAGGTTCTTTGTCATAGCAGGGCAGGTGATCCTGAGTTAAGGGGAAGGAACACAGTTAAAAGAATGAGGGAGCTCTGTAGAGGGGACAAGAGTGTTGATTTCAGGAAAGGATTTTTGTGCGTCTTGGCTGTGAGTTTTAATCATGCAAATTAGGGTGCTTGCAAAACTGCTAAAACACTTCTCTGGGGGGGCCCCCTTAGCCCAAGCAGAGCTGCTCAGGCGAGCTGAAGGTTCCAGTCTCTTAAGGGAACAGCAATGCTCAATGGTAACCTGGCTTGGAGGTTTGCTGCTTTCTGAGAAAGGGGAGCAGGTTTGATTGTATAACACAAAGGCACAAATAAGCAGCCTTCTTCTACCAGGATTTCTCTGAATTTCCCAGCATGCCCCAGAGGGCAACCGCCCAAGAAGGCTGTCTGCCACCTCAGACTGGCCCCGGCTGGGGGCTGCAGCTGGCCTGCTCCAGCAGGGCGGCGCCAGAGCATGTGTGTGGCTGCTTTGTCTCTGCAGAGGGTACCAAGGGCTCAGCCTAACACATCTGCTGAGGTTCATAATGGAATCTGCCTCCCTGTGACTGGAATTCCGAGACTCTGAGAGCAGAAAGGCCAAGGAAGCCTTCTCTCCACGCCATCACGCTGCACATCTTCCGCCCTCACCCCACTGACCTCCACCCTCCTTAAACATGCCATTCTCTTACATTTCCCCACCACTTCCATTTTTTCCTCTCACATCTTCGATGGAGTGCATTGTGATGCACAAGGCTTTTTGCCTGGTAGTTTGCCCAAAAGCGGCCAAGTCAACATTTTGATTAAGACTCAGAGACACTCCTGAGCTCCGCGTATCTGTGACATTTGGATTCCCCCTGCCACGCTGATCGAAATGCATTTTGAAGCACTCACACCGCATTTTCTGGCCCTGCTCTGCACCTTTTCCACTCAAGAATGTCCTTCTCCAGGTCAAGCAACCAGAGCGGAATGCAATATTCGAAGAGTGCAGAATATCTTGCACCAAAGGCTTGTGCACGGGAGGGAGATCTTGGGGCTGCGACTTGGGCAGTCCAGTTCTCCTCGGGTCACCCATCCAGGGTGCTGCTCAGAGTGGCAACCCAGCTGCCCACAGGTCTTTACTGCAACAGCCACTTCGGCCCATGTTCCCCAGCAACGGGTGTGCTATTTCCAGGGCCTATTTGCAGCACGCTCTTTTGCCTGATCCACCAAGCTCTTCTGGGCCAAGTCGGCATCCAGGCGAGGGGCTCCATGCTCCCTCACACCAAGCCAAAGCAGCTCCACCGGAAGACGCCAACTCAGAGAAACGCAGGGGCCATGAGGCCAAGGGTGTCGGCATTTACTACACTTAAATTAGGCAGCACAAGAAGGACGCTTGAAGACAATTTCACCGTTCAGAGAGAGAATGAGACGGACCGATCTGATGCATGAGGGGGGAGGGAAGCAGCCCACCAAGGCTCCCCGCTCCACCAAAGCTAAGAATATATTAAGTATTTGCTCTGCACTGTACACCATTTGGCATCCCTTCCACATACTTAGAAGACCTGATTTCTCAAAGCAGCTTTTTCCCTTGGCAGTCGCCAGCAGGGCTGGAGCTGGAGACGGAGCTACCCGCCGCCTGCACGCACACATGGCTCAGGCTGGCAGCCACTCTGGCCGGCCTACGGGCTCCTCCAGTGGTGCCGCCTTCCTGATAGTCCCTTCTGGCACCGGGGCGCTCCCCGGGCACAGCTGCAACGCAGCTTGGGAAGGCCAGACTGTCCCAGCTGGCTGCCTGGACAAGGCAGAGTCCGTGGCACTCTCCTGCAAGCAGGGACCTGGCTGCTGGGTGGAGCTTGGCCATGCCAGGGGCATCCACGTGCTGGGGAGCTCTGGCTTGCTCTCAGTCTGGTGCTGGCCGGCCTTTGGAGAGCAGCTGTGCCTCCACGCGTTCCTCGACAGGCAGAAAAGGGCAAGAGGCCCCCTCTCTGCAGGCCGCATCCTGCCTGTCCAGTCATTCCTGGCAGTGAGGCTTGCCCGCTTCTCCACCGTCCACCTCCAGTGGCTCACATGCCACTGGCAAAGGCTCCCCCTTGGCCTTCTCGCCTCCCTCGGGCAGCGGCTGGGGAAGGCCACAGGGAGCAGCTGGCCCGGGAGCGGGCTGCTCGCAGGGCCCTGGGGCAGGTGGTCTCGCCCCCTCCTCGCCCGCCCCCTCCCAGGCTCCACCACTGCCCTGCAGGGCCTCGCCGGCACCGGGGGGTCCTTCGCTGGGTGGCCTCTCCTTGCCGGCTGGGGCGCTGGGAGGAGGCTTGTCGGAGAAGGCGAAGCGGGGGCAGCTCTCCACGGAGGCCGGGGAGGCGGGTCCTGCGCTGGAGACGGCGCTGGAGGGGCCGCTGCTGTCTGCAAGGCAAAAGCGAGGCAGGAGCACTGCCGACCTCCCCTCCCCTCCCCTCCCCTCCCCTCCCCTCCCCTCTGCAGGCAGCGGCTCGCACGGCCGAGGCCCACAGCAAGGACTGCACGCCGGCAACCGGACGCAAGCCACGCAGCGGCCGCGGTACAAGCCGGCCACAGAGGTCTCAGACAGGAGCCAAGGGGTGGAGGCACGGAGCACGTCCAGGTGGCCCCTGCCTGGAATGCCACTGGCAGTGAGAGCCCAGCCACACTCCCCTGGCCATCCACGTGACCCACGCCGCTCCTGGGCCCAGCAGCCACGGCCGCCCTCTCCGCACAACCGCGCCAGGAGGGGCTGGCGCACAAGCAGCCCCTCGCAGGCAGCTGGCCCGATGGCGCAGCCCCTTTCTGCATCCAAGGGCCTGGCATCCCCGCCCCTCCCCCCCACGCACAGGCACCACTTACGCCAGGGGGGCTTGTCGGAGCGGGACTGCAGGGGCGGAGAGGATGCTGCCAGCGGCTGCTGCGGGGCAAAGGTGTCCCTCAGCACTGCAGGACGGACAGACAGACAGACAGAGCGGCTCAAGCGGGTGGGGTATTGTGCCCTGCAGCAAGCATGCTTCAGCCCATTCCTCAGCTGAACTATCCCTGGGAAACCTAGGGAGAGGCTGTTTGGAGATTTGGCGGGGCAGCCGAGCCTTGTTCTCCACCTATCAGTGGGTTCAACTGGCCAACGGGCCACTTTCGGGTCATTTCAACAAACACGCGTTCTGATGAGCCACAGGGACTGCTGGCGAGGGGTTCAGCAGGCCGAGGGTTCAATGCTCAAGGCCAGACACTTAATCCTGGCTTGCTTCGGGACAGTTTGCTGACGTCCGCAGCACTGGTGAGGCCCAGTATCAGGTTGCTTTGGAAGCCTTCAGCGGGCCCAGAAACCAGCCACCGGGCTGACTAAGACTGGCCAGTGGAAGCCTCTCCGAAAACCTTCCCGGGTTCTGCTCTGCTCTGCTCTGCTCTGACTGACTGGTTGTTGTTCTCGAACCAAGGAATCAGAAGGCCAGGCTTCCCCGGATGACCCTGCCTGTGTCTCAAGATGATCTTCGGAGAGGCCTTTTCTTTGAATTGAGACATTCCTATCTGCCGTTCTGTTTCAAAGCGCTCCCTGTGGCTCAGAAAGGTGAAAAGCTGCTTCAGGTGGACATGAAACAACTCTAAAACCAGCCAAAACCATCAAGAGGATAGAAAATTGGGAGGGAGCAGCAGCTCTTGGATCAGGACAAATCACTTTTCACAGAGCAATCCTATACGCCAGTTTGCCGGGGGGGGGGGCGGGGAGCTGGCCAGCTGGGACTACAGCCTGCACTCTCTCAAGCCAGGATGGGACGTGTGCTTGCATAACCCCAAACGGCGCCCAGAGAAGCAGCCCTCCCTGGAGCACTGCCGAGCCGAGCCGACCATGTCGGTCACAATGCCCCCCACATCCAGGGGGAGCTGCGGAGGACGCCCCGCACGCCCTTCCATGTCGCCTCACGCAGAGTGCCGCAGCGCCCCCAGCAGCCCAGGGCCCAGAGCCAGCGCCCGCCCGCCCAGCCAGCCAGCCGTGGCTTGCTTTCGCAGCGTGGTTCGCCCCTGCCAGACCGAGCGGGGAGCAGAGCTGCATCCCCACGGGACAAGCAGCCCAGAGCAGAGGGAGGCGGTGCGGGGGGCTGCAGCCAGTCCAGTGGGCAGCAGGAGGGGAAGGGGCAGCCTGCACCCCGCCAGGGAGGAGGAGCACACGCGGCGGCCCTTCTCGTGGCACGACAGGCATGGGGGCACAGAACGCACGGCTGCAGCCCCCAAACCCGGCAAGCTGCGACCAGCTGGCTTGTGCCACTCGGACTTTCGGGGCACAGGGACCAACAGCGCGATCGGAGGAAGGGTCCCTCACGGCAAGGGCGAGTCTCTGGGGAGGGGCGGCGCTGGGCCGTGTCTTCCCAACCGGTCTCCCATATGCCCCTCCTGGGCAGGCTGCCGCAGCCTCAGCTCCAGGGAGCCCAGGACGGCACAGGTCATCTGAAGGAGGGCCACAAGGGCCGCGTCTGAGCTCAGCCCACCCCGCGAGGGACGGGGCGGAGCGCCCAGCACAGGCAGGAGGCGGCCAGAAGGGGGCAACGGCCCCTTTGGCCCACCCTGCCCACTGCACCATGCCACTCCCCATCACCATCTGCCCCCAGAGCTACTGCCCCCGAGTCCACCTGCTGCTCCCTCCCTGCTCCTTCACATGCGCTTCCTGCCTCCCCGACAAGCTACAGCGCCGGCCCTGCTCAGCCACAGAGAGGCCTGCCCTCCTGGCCTGGGGGAGCGGACCCAGGGGAGGAACAAGCCCAGCAAGGGGCCAGGCAAAGCCTCCACGGGACCTGCACAAGGGGGGCCTCAAGCCGGCACGCACACCCGGCAACACACACGACACCAGCGGGAGAGTCAGCCTTTACTGAGCGGCACTGGGTCCGAGTCCCGAGCAGAGCGCCACGCAGGGCTGCGAGCCGGCCGGCCGGCCAGCCGGCCAGCTCCCCCAGCGGGGCTCCTGCACACAGCACGCCGGCTCACCAGGCAGCAAAGCTGGGGGTGCAGCGGCCCTCACAGCACCTGCTCCACGCGAGAGCAGCTTCGCCTGTTGCGCAGCTGTCTGTCAAGGCGCCTGCAGGCTTGCAGGAGTCTGCCTGCAGCACGTGGGAAAGGAACCTCACTGCCACCGAGATGAGCCTCCACCAGGCACACGCCAGGGAGAGGGGCGGACTCTGACCTTCGGGAGGGCACAGGAGGGACGGATCGCAGGCTCCGGCGTGACACCTCATCCATGGGGCTGGGTGCACAAGCGAGGCGAGGCGAGGCGAGATCACGGGCCGTTTTCAAATCAGTATTTCCAACGAGCGCGAATATGAGGGAGCAGTGCCCGCCCGAGCGCTCGTGTCTTCCCTTCAGTGGACTGCAGGAGGACATGCTTCGCCTGAGGGCTGCCATGACACCAGGCATGCAGGGAAGCGTGTTCTGCTCCCGGCATCCAGCTGGGCCCTGCAAGGCAAGAGGGCCCAGAGTTCGGGGCCAGAGCGAGCAGCACTGCTCTCTCGCAGGGAGCGTGTGGGAGTCGGGACGCTGCTCTCCACTGCCAGGAGCCGGACCGCGGCAGCAACAGCTCGGGGTGGGCCGAGTAGGACTGGCTTCCCTGGGGGGTGCTGTCCTGGCACCCCCAGCTGCACTCATCAGGCTGGGGCGCCGCCGCAGCCGGCAAAGAGGGACCTGTGCAGGCTCCAGGCAGAGACGGGCTCGCATTCCCACACGTTCCACAGACGGTGGCTCGGTGCACGCCCACAGTGGGCAGCCTGGCCCGGGAGCTCCCTTGCAGCATGAGGGTCCGAGGGCTCACTCCGAGTCCCTGCCCCCTCAGGCACCAAGCTCAGTGGGAGCACAGCCCCTCGCAGACAGAAGCTGTGAATAGGACTTGAAAATATCCTGCGCACACAGCAGTAAAAAGGGGCACCTGCATATCTGTAACAAGACGCCAGCACTCTTCTTCAGTTGCCCACAGCAATAAAACCACTTCTTTACCTGCAGTAGATACCGGAAGACTAACAAAACAAACGGACCGTGTGTGTTTGCAAGCTCTCACCGGTGAACAGTGAAAAAGAGCGCACGTTTTGATGGCGAGGCCCCCGGGAGCACATCTGAGAACCACCGCAGAACAAATCCAGAGAGGGCGGACGTGCAGGCGGGGGGGGGGGGGGGGGATGTGTTGTTTTGTAGCTGGGCATATGCTTGTCTGATGTGAAATGGTTGTTGCAACAGCTTAACCGGAACAATTTTTCCTCGGCCTCTTCAATTCCGATTAGAGCAACAGAATGGTCTGTGGCTCTCCGGACACGTTCTGGCATGGTTTGCAGGGAGGCCCGAGACCCTCTAACCCTCTTGCTGCTCACAGCAGGAGCTGCGCCAGAGGGAACAGCTGGGCCACCCCATCCCCGCCAGGCCTCTCCCCAGCACTCCGGCAGCGAGCCGGGCACCCTGCAGGACAGAACAGCTCGGGGTCCCCGACTTCCTCCGCTGAAATCCAGTTCCTGGGGAACACCCTCCAGCAACCCTGATCCTTCCTCTCCGCCACAGGGAGCATCCGCTCGGCCCCTTCTCCTGCAGGGCAGCTTTTTCAGGATCTGAAGACCAGCCATCTTCAGCGTCTCCCCCGATCTTCTCTTCTCCAGAGTGAAAAATGCTGAGCTCCAGGAGGTGGCTTGCAGTGCCCTCTCCACCCAGGCTGCTCTTCACGGGGCAGCGAAATGGGCCAAGAGCCTTCTTCACACGCGGTGCCTCAACGGCGCTGCAAACACAGCCGAGTGCAGAACGGCGTGGAACCGGCGTGGCGGCTGCGAGTGCCCGCTGGGGAGCTGGGTCACCCAGACTCTAGTCTCTTCAGACATGGAGCTCACTGGGTGACTTGGAAAGGCCAGTTTTGGACTTTCGGCCCGGCCCACCTAACAGGGCTGCTGTTGTGGGGTAAGAATGAGCGGAGGAGGAGGAGAATTATGTAAGCTGCCTCGAGTTCCTTGGAAGGAAGGAAGGTGGGCTGGAGCTATACAAACGAGCGACCACCTCCGGTGGCCCAGACCCTCTTCCACCATGCACGCGGCCAAAGACGGCATGCGCTTCTCAGCTGCCCCGCTGCATCACAGGCTCACTTTCAGCTTGCCTCCCATCCAGACTACAGGGTCTCTCTCAGGTGCCATCTTGTTTCTAGATGTTTTTCCACGTTCAGGGACTGACCACTCAATCATCCCTTTAAGAATTTGGTTCACCATTGGCATTTTTTGGATTTCCCTTAAATACGCATGGATATGGTTACTCCTGGATTCATTCTTAAGTAGCTTATTCAAGTTCCCAGAAGCACCACCAAAAAAATGTTACAGCCAAATGATGCCTGTAATTAACAATACTGCCCTGTAATATCCTGGAACCCTCAATTGTTCTGTCATTTAGAATTTCATTATCCACTCCTTATGAAACTCACTTTCATATGCACCATTTGCAAGTAACTGCAGCAATTGTTATGTTTTTTGCTGTTATGTTTGGCAAATGAAAAACGTTTGGCTGTATTTTGCTGTGAATTTGTACATACTCAATTCTGTTACTGAATTTATACCTGATTTTGGTGTTATCAGTGTTACCAGGCTATTTCTGAGTAACATCTGTATTTTTAGTCCTGCCCTTTCAGTACTGCAATTTGGTCTGCAGTGGTCTGGAAGCCGGAGCTTTGGCTGGCTCGGGTGTAACACTGACAGGGACAGCGGCTGTGGTCTGGCGTGGACGGCACCTGAGGGTCTGCAGCTCCCCGTGCCCCCCAGCCCCCCATGGCTCCAGCAACAGCAGTACTTCCGCAGTGCTTCTGGGTCACCCCGGGGTGTCTTTCAAGGCGAGGATCCTGGCACAGGGCACGGCTTTCCCCGACCTACAGCCCCTCAGCCATGGTAAGGTGAGTATAGGATTGCTCTGTGTAAAGGCTCCTCACTAGAGTGTGGCCTCTGCGGTCACTGGATCCTGCTCCCAGGGCAGCGGATCGTGCATGTCTGAGTTTCAGACCATTATTTCAAGAGAACTGCAGGAAGCTGCTTTGGAACAGGCGAGACAGAAGGACATGCTATTTAAAGGGACAGCAGTGGCACGAACCCGCTGCTGCTCAGGTCGCCCGAGCCGTTCCCGCTGTGGAGGAGCCCAGGTGAGGCGTGGCCCAGAGACCCAACCCGGAGGATACCTGTGGGGGCTCCAGAGTGGGGGCTGCTGCAGCTCCTGGAGATGGTGGTCAGGAAGTCACTGACCTGGCGCAGGGAGAGCGAGTTGTGCAGCGTCTCCAGTGGGTAGATGCTGGGCACCAGAGAGCAGCCTTCGAACCCTGCAGGCACAGGAAGCCACCCACGCTGGGTCAGCAGCCCCGGTGCTCCTCCCGTGTGCCTCTGCCTCCCCCAGACTGAGCCTAGTGCCACAAAGTGGGCCTCCCACAAGCCCCTGCTGCCCCGGCCCGGCCTTGTGGCAAGCGGGTGCGGTTCTGCGCCTGCAACGAGCACCCCTTGGCTCTCATGAGGAAGGTGGGCCAGACCTGCTGGTTCACATGCCCCCCCCCCCCACCCTGGATGTGCTGAGCCAGGTGAGCACAGGGACCCCAACTGCAAGGAGGGCAGCTGCTTGAGCACGGGGAGGGGGAGAGGCAGAGCAAGCGTGCAAGCCAGGGGGCGGCCGGGACAGGGCTTGGGCAGGGACAAGTTACAAAGTGAACGTACCATTTGTGGGGTGCTTTGCAAACGACACAGAAAATCGCTTCACAGCTGGCATAGACAAGAGTTCTGGGGAGACAAGAGAGAACGTCGCTTCAGCGAGGCCCCCACAGCCCTGGTGCCCCTTCAGGGCGCACAGTCCGGCTACCACACCAGGGAAACAGGACTGCCATCTGTGCGTTGAAGCAGGTGCTGCCGGCCGACTCTTTGGGCCTCCCCTTCACGCAGATGCTCAAACACGAAATAAAGTCCCCAGAGAATAGCTCTGCCACTCGCCTCTTCCCCCTCTCATGGGAGTGAGGGTTTGCCCATTGCGCAAACGCGGCCAGAATTTTCTAACCTGAAGCCTGAGGAAGTGTTTAGCACCAGCTGGCGGTGAAGTAAGCCCGTCCCCTCCGAAGCCCCACGGAGGCCCATCAGTCCGAGGAGGAGGGCCCTGCAGCCGGCCCCGGCCGCGCCGCGCCAGAACACTCAGTAAAGCTTCTGCCGCCCTGCAGCCTCCCTTCGCCCACTGCCAGCCACGTGCAGCACAGGACATGGGCAGGCCTGGCCCCCGAGAGAGCTCTCTGACCCTGCCCAGCACGCCACCCCGGACGGTCCCTCCTCCTTCCCGAGGGATGGCCACACACGGGCTTCCCAGCTCGGACACGCTGCTGCGTACCCTGGAGCTGGGCCAGGCTCTCGGGCCAACGGCTCTCCGAGCCCTGCCTGCGGGACACGGCAGCAGCTCCTGACGGGTCAGTGGGACGGGGCGCTCACATGTCCCAGCCCAGCTGCTTGCTCCCGAGGATGCACTCACCGTCTTTGAAGAGGAAGCTGGAAACAAACTTCTTGCCATGGCTGCGGGCGTAGTCCTGGAGATTCGGGGCACTGGAGGAGCCGCCAAGGACGGTGGTGCTGAAGAGCCCACTGCACTGCGAGCCTGCGGAGGAGCAGCACAGCGATCGCGTCCCTCCTGTCTGCACCACCCACCACTGGGAGCAGGCCAGGAAGCCGCCCCCCCCCCCCGCTGTCAGCAAGGAGTGGACCGGAGGAGCCGCTGGCCACCCTTGGATCTGCTCTGAGCAGCCTCGCAGAGGCCGGACCTGGCAATCCTCCTCCAGGCCAAGCAGGCACAGGGTTGGCCTTTGGGTGCGCGGCCTGGGCCAAGCCAAGGGGCGCCTGCAGATCTGGCACAGGGAGCTGTGCTGGCAAAGCCGCACAAGCCCTCAGCCCTTTCGGTGAGAAGAACGGAGCTGCCGGCCTGATTGCCAGTTAGCCGCGGCACCAACTGCAGCAGATGAGCTTCTGGCAATTACCCATAAATGATCAGAGGCACATGGCTCGACTAGGAGGTACGTCCTGCAGTGCTGCAGACGCCTGAGTGGTGCGTACACCAACTAGCCGAGGGCCAGTCCTGCTCTCAGCTCAGGGCAAGCTGGACAAGGCAGAGGGGGCCCAGGGCAGGAAGCAGAACCACCCGCTCAGTCGGAACATGGGAGCAAGGAACGCTGGCGCTGTGGCGGCAGCTCCCGGGCAGCCTGTGCTCAGCCCTGGAGGCCCCTCTGGATGGATGCGGCAGTGCGGCCGGCGCACAGGAAGGAGATGCGGCGAGGGAGCAGAGGCGACTGGAGGAGCCCACCAGCCGCGGCACTGGCCTGGCATGCCCCTGCCCTGGCCAGCGGCTCAGCCTCCGCTCTCCCGCCCACTGCGGGGCCTCCCCCCTCCCCAGAGGGGGTCCTCTGAGCCTCCCTGCTGGACGAAGCACCCCGGCACTCCTGGTGGGGGAGACGGGTACCTAGGCCACTCTGCTTGACTTCCGAAGAGTGCCGGGAGTAGGAGAAGAGGCGGTACCCGCTGGCCTTGGAAGACGACTCAGACAACACCTGCAGGAGAGAGGCCTTTGCAGGATGGAGGGGGAAAGCATGGGGAGTGGGGTTCCCAGCCTCCCCCAGGGAAAGCAGCTCCGAGAGGAGGAAGACACGGCTGATGTGACAGGGAGGGGGATGACACCCCCGCCCCCTCCAGCATGCCCACCTCCATGGAGCCAGCCTTGCGGTTCCGGATCAGGGGGGAGCGCCGCTGGATGGGGATGGGCTCCAAGGGCTGCTGGGCCTGGTCCGTCTCGTCCGCAGCCTTCGGCCTGGCAATGTCCTCCAGGCTGCCTCTCTCGGGCTTGTCGTTCGCCTCCTTCTGCAAGACAATGCAAGGGGGCAATGAAACACAGAAACAGAGCGAGTCAGAAGGGGCCTCCCGGGCCATCTAGTCTGTCCTCTGGCACCAGCCGGCTCCGCTCACGGCAATTCTCAGGGTCCCGGCAGAATTTGCAGGGTGGGGGGCAGGGGGGGCAGCACTCCTGGGCAGCAGAACGGCCTGCATGTGGAGGTGGTGAGAAAAAGTGGCCAGAGGACACGGTCCTGAGGGAAGCCGGCCAGGAGTGGGCAAAGCCTGAGAGGGGGCTTGGCGGCGCTTCCTCCCCTCCTGAGCTCCACAAGGGGGCAAGATCCAGGGCCTGGGAGTTGCTGGGGGATAAGGCGCAAATGCTGCTTCCCAACCGGCTCCTCCTCAGTGCAGCATGCTGGAGCCAGAGAGGCATCCGCCTGAGCCTCTCTAGGGGAGGATGTGGGGCACAGGCACTGCTCCCCTCCCCTCCCCAGCCCCAGCCAAGCTGCATCCTCCATCGAGAAGCCTGCTGGCCCCTCCTCAGGGCACCTGGGAGGGCAGGCCAGGCCAGAGGCCCGGAGCAGCCAGGAGAGAAGAGGCTCCAGACCCCACTCCCGGGGCGCAGGTGGGGGTCCCAGAAGAGCCGCGCGAGGCCCACCTCTGCCGCAGCGGGACGGAAGCCAAACCCAGCGGGAGCCCCGCTGTCCTCCTCGCAGCCCTTCACGCCCGGGCTGAAGTGCAGCTCCACGTGGAAGCGCTCCTCCGAGGACGGGTCCTGAGAGACAGCACAGCCCTGCTGGAGCGACATCAGAGGTGGCCCGGCCGGCCCTCGCCCCCCCCGCCCGCCCCCCGCCCCCTCACCTTGTTGTTGTCCTCGTAGAGCATGATGACAATCTGCGTCATGTAGTTCAGCTCCGAGATGGCACTCAGGTAGTCCAGGGCTCTCTTCCACTGCGGGTCCTTGGACTCCTGGCGTGCACAAGGGGCGGAGGGGCCGGTACAGGCGGGGTGGGGGCCACCTTGCCCGCCAGAGCCCGGCCCGGCCCCGGCCCCGTGCTCCTGGGCCCAGGCAGGGCTCCCAGGCTCTCCACGCGAGTGGCTCCGCGGCCTCCAGCCTCGCCGGCTCACACTGCCCGAAAGCCCCAGCAAGCTCCAGGCCCGCCCGCCCGCCCGCCCGGCCACTCAAGTGGGGCCCCGTGCAGGAGGCAGAGGGCGGCTTCCCTCTCCTGCCACGGAGCAGCCCTGCGAGGAGCAAGAGTGGACTGGCGGGTGGGGGGTGCGCAGCTTGCTGAGCGGCATCGCCACGCTCCTGCGCAGGAAGGCTGCCCCACGGCCCGGCCGTTCTGGGGGCACATGCAGCGGAGGCGGCTTGGCACCTCTGGCACTCCGCCCCCGAGAGGCTGCGCCAGGGCAGAGGACACAGAATAGGGGAACTGGGGGGCCAAGAGGGTGACCGGTCCAACCCCCCAACCAGGGCAGGACTCCCCCTGCTCTCTGCACCCCGAATACCTCTAGTGTGGGGGAGCCCAGACTCCCTCGGTCAGCGGCCCCAGTGCTGGACCGCACTACCAGCCAGCAAGCTCCGGGGGATGCTCAGCCGGCACCTGCCGCCTGCATCCGTCATTCCCTGCCCTGCGCTCCAGGAGGAACAAGGAGGGATCCCAGAGAGCGGTGATTTGGAAAGGAGCTTCTCCCACGGAGAGGCCCTGGCCCAGGATGAGGCGGGGGCTGCTAGCAAAGCCAACCTGCAAGGAACACCCCACACACAGACGCGCGAGGGAGCTGGTGGACGCTGGCCAAGCCACAGGGGCAGTGAGGAGCCTGAGCCAGCTGGGGCACCCCAGGGGCTCACTTACGTCTAAGAGGCCCCCGTAGCGGAAGATGTTGAGCAGGGAATGGACGTGGCTCTCGCTGGTGAAGTACAAGCGCGTCCGGACATGGCGGCCCGGAGAGAGGACGCCTCTGGAATACCTGCAACCAGGGCAGCGCCCGCTCAGCCGAGGCTGGGAATGGGGCCTGCGGAGGGGGACGGCTGCCAGACGCAGAGCCGGCCCTCCGCTGCTTGGTTGCCGTGGGCACTGCCAAGCAGGCCAACCTCAACTGAAAGCCGCAGTGCCGGGAAGGCTCAGAGGCGGCATCCAACCTCCCACGAAGGCAGCTGCAGCGCCAAGCGCAGCCGAAGGAAGCGGAACGGCCTGGGGAGCTGAAAGGTGGCTCGCAGGCCTAGAGGGCACGCCGAGGCAGGAGGGGGAAGCCGGGCCAGGGGAGGCTGCGACCGTCCAGCAGAGCTGGCTGCGGGTGCCAAGCGCAGGGGAGGCAGCACGCCTGTGGGAGGAGGCCCTCCCAGGAGGCCCGGCCGCAGGCGGAGCATGGCCGTCCATGCCCCAGGAAGGGAGTGGAGCCCAGGGAGCCCGGGGCAGCCAGAGACGCAGGGGCAGCCACTGCCCGCTCCCCACCCAGGCCCTGCTTACAGGGGGTGCAGCTTGTTGACGGACTCGTCCTCGTGGGTCCTCTGCAGGTCCAGCTGGATCTTCCTGACGAGCGGCAGGCAAAACCCAACCGCGATGTCCAGCTTCTCCTGCTTGTCAATCCCGTACTCCTGGGGAGGAGGGCAGTGAGCCGGGGGTGGGGTGGCTCGGGGCCCAGCGCCCCCGCTCCTTCGGGCACCTGCCAGGGCGCCCTGGAGCCCGCCATACCTGGGGGATGACGACGTCCGCCAGGGCCTTGGAGAGCCGCAGCAGCTCGGCGGTGCCCTCCAGCGGGAGGGAGGCGTTGTGCTGTGCGTCGTACTTGACGCAGTCGTAGATGTCCGGGATCTTGCTGATGTCGTAGCGCCGGTTCTTGAGGCGGAAGTCCCGCTCCAGCTTCCTCCAGCGCTGCAGCATCAGCTCCAGCGTCTCGCTGTGGTAAAGCTGCAGGTCTGTGGAGGCAGGAGCAGGCAGTCCTCCCGGGGCCCCACGCCAGCGGTGCGAAGGACCACGGGGGCCCTGGCAGATCCCACTGCCGCTCGCAGGGACTGGCAACGGCTTCCCACTCCCCTCTGCTTTAGCAGCCATAACGATAAAACGTCTTCCCCGCAAAATTCACCTTCTGAAAAGACACAGCTGGGAAAGGCAGGAGAGTCAGGGTCGGCCACCCGAAAAAGGCTCTATGCGAAAGGGCCACAAGCTGAGTTTGGAGACAATCACACACTTCTGGCCATGTGGGCAGAAGCTGCTCCTTGACCCTGCGCCCATCCCCTCCTCGCCTACCATAATCTGCAAAGGAAAGTCTGAAGCTCGCCGACCTGCCGCAAGATGCAGGACGGGGTGGGCAGACTTAAAGACCCACTTGGTTCTGCCGCAAGAACTCCCAGGCCAAGCACAAAACAGCTGCTTGGAGCACGGGCACACAAGGCATGGAGCAACATTAAGGGGGCGCCGATGAGACATTCAGCCCAAGAATTTATTGCCAGTACCAAAACTAAACTACAGTCCAGACAGATGAAGGCGCTTTGGTCCGCCTCCTCTGCTGCTCCCGCAACAGCCCAAAGCTTCCTCCAGTTCTGCTCCCTGATTTAGAAGGGCGGGAAGTGTTTGGAAGTCAGAAACCCCGGGACATCCAGTCATCTCTCTGTGCACCGCCATCTGCCCCTGCCCCTGCCCTCTCCAGCACACGGAGACCACCGGGCTCCCCCCTCCCCACGCCCACCCCTTCATTCCCCACCTGCGGACTTGGGGTCTTCCAGCCGTTTCTGGATCTGGGAGGTGAGGCTCTCAATCAGGTCAAAGACACGGTCACAGATTTCCACGGGATTCTGGATGATGCCCATGGACTTGGTAAGCGAGATGCTGCCGGTAGGCGCCAGCTGAAGCCAGAAAGAGCAGGGCAGCCGTGAAAACCAGCACTGAGCATTTCCAGAGCCAACACTCCCCTTCCCGTGGGGCCTAATGCAGGGATTCTCCCCCAAAGAGCTGGCTGCAACCAGCTGGCTGGCTTGGCTTCCCTTGGGGACACTTCCAGGCTCTGAACGCCTTCCCAGGGATGCAGCAGCGATCTCCTCCGGCCCTCCTCGAGGATTTAAGGCATGCTGCAAGTCACTCTTGCCAGTCTGGCCTGATTCTTTTGACAAAGGGACAAAGCATTTATCTGAACGTGAAAATGGACGAGCACCTCCTGCCAGCCCAGACCCCTCACTGGGCGCCCTGGCTGCTCTGCTTGGGTGGCCTGGCAGCAACAAGCCATGCAGGCCTCCTGCAGGGCTTTCTCCCACCGGGGAAAGCTTGGCAATGACTGGCCTGGCCTGAGAGGCCGTGCCAGGGCTCCTCCCAGCTTACCTGAGTGCAGCAGCCTTTACGCAGGCCAGCCTCGGAAAAGAGCAAGCACAGAGACCTGGCGGTGCCGATTGTGCACCAGAAGCATCAGGTGGGCCTGTTGGAAGCACCCGGCCCGCCTGGTCCTGACGTCCTTCTGGACTTACCCGTCTGTTTCCCATGCAATTTGCTCACGGTAAGCTTTCACTGTCTCCTCCCTCCTTCCTGGGTTTCTAGTGGAAGTTTCATGTGGCTGCTTTAAACTAATTTTACTGTTTTACCATCTTCTCTGTGAGCTGCTTGGGGGAGCGTCTTGCCCTGAGGAGCAGGATTAAAATACCGAGCAAGGGAAGGCGGCTCCCACGGCCTGTCACCTTCTCGTAGTCTTCCGCGCAGAAGGTGGCATCTTTCTGCATGATCTCCCGCAGGCGAGCCTTCACCCGGTGCTGGCAGCTGCTGAGGGAATCGCCATCGCTGTCCAGGAGGCCGTTCATGTTGGCGCTTTTCACCATCTGCACCAGGATGGGGGTCAGCTCTCCCTCGAGAGCAAGGAGGCCCTGCAGGGGGAGAAGCATGTGCGTGCTGTCCGCTGTGGCCCCAATCCTGGCCAGACTGCCCGGGACCGTAAATAAGCTCTGCCGGTTTGCTTGAGCTCAGCACAGGGCCCAGGCCAGGGGGCAGCAGGGTGGCCAGCGGCATTACAAAAGGGTCTGGCAGAAGTTCTCCGTGGCACTGGTGGAGGAGGAGGAGCAGGAGGAGGAGCAGCCGCCACCGCCGCCCACCTTTGCAAACGCAGCTGCTGTCATCTGGACCCTGCCTTCGTCGGAGGCGTAGATCTTGAGATCGTGGCGGTAGGTGCTGTGCAGCCGGAGCAGGCCGCAGCCAGGGAAGCCCGCGTAGTCTCCTGGGGGGCAGAACCGCTTGCAGTCACCCGAGGCTGCAGCCCACAACCCTGGGGCTCCCATCCCAGAGACCCCTGCTGGGGATGCACAAGGCAGCGGGACCAGAGCTGCTCCAGGGCTGTCCCCCTTCCGCCCCAGAAGCCCCTCCCCGCTGAGGGACAGCCCTTCTCACCTTGGCCGCCGGGGTACATGCAGCGGAAGGCGCGCCCCAGCTCCTCGGCTTGCACCCTTCCGGCCGGAGTCAGCTCGCCCCCCCACTTCAGCACAAGCAGCAGAGATGGGGACACCTCCCTGCAGGGATCTGGAGAGAGTTGGCGCACCCAGTCAGCCCAGCCAGAGGCAGCGTCAGGCCAGGCCGCCCTCCTCCCGGAGACAGGAGGTCAGGAGGAGTGAGGTGGAAGCACTGCCTTTAGCTGCCCCCTGGGATGCAGCCTCTGCCAACCATGCACTTCTAGGCCGCTTTCCCTAAGTACTCCAGGTATTTCCTAGCCATTATTTTGGAGATCCTGCAAAGATCGGCTTCATGCTCAAGACAGAAAGTAAGAGGTGCCACCTCTTTTTTCCCAGCAGACCTATGATGGCAAGCGGAGGCTGCCCAGTTTGCGGCTTCAGCCACTCTGTCGCCCAGCAGAACCGCCCTCCCGCAGCTCAGCTGCCCTAGAGCAAGCGTGGCAGGGTTGTCTGTCGAACTGGAGCAGCCCATGGCAGCCCCCTCCTCTGCCCCACAGTCGCCAGCACGGGATCTCCAGCTCTCTGCCAAAATCCAGGTGGCAAGGCAAGCCCTCGCAGGAGCCAGATACCTGCCTTCCTCTTCACAGGACACCTTCAGCTGCCCATGGGGCAGGTAGGTCAGCTGCACCTTGCGGTTGATGCCAGAGAAGTGTCCGTACCTGCGGGGGGGGGGGGAGTGGGCATGTCACACTCTGCACGAGGCATTCCCCTCTGATCGCTCCCCAAAGTGGGGTGGAGCAGCAGCGCCCAGCCCAGCCCCCTAGTCTTGAAGAGGACGCCCCCGGCAGGAGGCTGCCAGGGGCCCCAAGAGAGCCCCAAGGAGAGAGCCCCACGAGAGGAAGGGGAAGGCACTCCGGGGGACTGCAGGGAGGGGCCTGGGGCTGCTCTGGCTGCTGGAATGCCGGCCCCCGCCCACCCAGCCTTCTCCTCACATCTCCAGAACAGTCTTCAGCTGCTCCAGCTTGGACTTCCACTCCTCCACCTCCGAATCGCCCTGAGCGTTCTGCTCCAGCACCAGCAGGCGGGCAATATCCAGCACCTCCTGCCGGGGCGACAGGGGCGTTCAGGCTGCGAGACGGCCCTGTGGGCCACCATGGGAAAGGCAGGGCTGAGCCCGGCTCCCGGCAGGAATGGCCATCCGCCGGCTGCAGCTTTGTGTCTCTGCCCCGGCAGGGCAGCCAGTCCGCCCCGCTGAGAGAACAGCCCCCGCGGGCCCTCGCTCCTGCCCACCACACCAGGCTAGCCCCCTCCTCAAAGGGGCCCCCGGCACTGAAGCACAGAGCCCACGAGCGGCCAAGGTGGGGCGGGGAGCGGCAGCGAAAACCCCGCCAGCCAGAGCTCACCTGCAGCTGCTCCGGCTTCTTCAGCTTCAGCTTCCCCGTCTTGTAGCCCTCGTATTTCTCAAACAGTGCAAAGAACCTGCCCACATGGAACAGAGGAAGCGCCATGGAGTCCACCGCTGGCCAGGGACGGTTCCTCCTCTATGGCAGGGAGACGTGGGGGCCACGGAGCCCCCGCCCCATCCCGGCGTGCTGAGACATAACAGAGCCTGGAACGCACGTCGATTTGGTGCCAGGCAAAGCTCCGCATGAGGGCAGTCGTGTCGCTCAGCGACTCTGAGGAGTCTGAGGCGGAGGAGAGCCACGGAGACCCCCGTCGAGGGCGCCGCCGCCGCCAGCCCCTCGTTACCTGGCGTGCTTCACCTCCATCTTCATCTTCTGCTTGGGCGTCCGGTCCCCGTGCCGAATCACCGCGATCACGCACCGCAGCTCCATCCTGCAGAAAAGGTGCACAAGCTCAGACCTCGCGGGGAGGGACTCCCACTCCTGCCCTCTGGTCAGCAGCTCAGAGAAACCAGCGTTCAAATCGGGGATCAAAAGATGCACGGCAGAGCGCAAAGCCTGACATTCATGGGCAGAGGATTCTAGCTGCAAAGGCAGCCCAAAAAGCAGTTAAAATAAAAGGATGCCCAATGGGAGGTGAGCTAACCGAAGAGGGCTCTTGGGGGGGGTTTCATTTCTTCTTGAATGCCCTCCCCCCTATTGAGAAGCCTTAGCCGGACCAGGATTGATGCAGAGGCCCCCCCCCCCCGGTCCTTTCCTACCCAGTCTGGACTCCAAGGGAGACTCTGCCATTTACCTCCCAGCTAGAACCAGCCCCGGAGGCAGAGGGCCCCCCTTCCTGAGGCCAGAGGCGTGGCATGCACCCCACCACAGGAACCACCCCCAAGCCTCCCCCTCCTTGCCTCTGGTGAGGAGAGGCTGGGGAGCACACGGCCCTGTGACACTCACATGGTCCCCGAGGTTGTGGGCACGATGGGGATGTCCTCGGCTTCGGTGGGGATGGACCAGGGGATCTGGAACTGGGGGGCCATTTCCCGCATGATGATGTTCCTGGCGAGGTAGAGGAGCAGCTCTGGCTGTGAGCCCCAGGCGCCCCCCAGCTCCACTGCGAGCCCCAGCCAAGCCGCCTCCGAACCCGGCCGGCAACGCGTGAGGCTGGCCAGGCGCCCTAGGGCCCCCCGGCCAGCGTCTCCCTGCCAAGCGAGCCTGTGCACAGCTGCCTACCCGAGGATCTTGGCGCAGTCGTCGTAGTACTTCATGGAGTTCTTAACGAAGCTGAAGCCATTCACGTCGCAGACGAAGGAGTGGCCGTTGGCCCGCAGGAGGTCGAAGCCACACACCGTCTGCTGCGGGGGGGGCGGGGCAGAGCACAACGCGGGAGTCAGTCGGGCCCCTCAGCACCCCCCCGCTTGCTGCTGCTTCAGCCCCCATCCACTGCGGACTCGGGAAAGGCCTGGAGGAGGAGCACGGAGAGCGAGCCACGCAAGGGGGGTGAGGAGGGCCCCACGGCAGTCTCCGGACCCTCCAGGCAGCAGGTGCTGGACACCCCCCAAGCCACACATCCGGCAGAGGGTGAGGATGGAGGGTCCCCTCGCCCCTGCACGAGGAGCGCTGCCCCAGGATGCCCGGCCCAGAGGTACTGCAGGGAGACACCAACCTTGAAGGCCACGCAGACTTTCCTGGCCACCAGCTTCTCTATGGCCGTGAGCATGACTGGGTAGCGAATCTCCTTCCCTTCGCTGTCGCGTTCAACCTTCCCATCCAGGGCGGGGGACTTGCGAGCCTCAGCGTGTGCATAGTCGGGGCCCACTGTGTACACCTGAAGCACAGAGGCCGAGCACTGACCACCCACCGCCTGGCCAGTGCCCTGAGGCAGCCCCACGTCCGCCGCAGCGCCACTCTCGGCAGGGCAAGGCAGGCGCAGGCACAGGCGCCTCCCTTACCTTCACGTCTGTGCCGTCGGTGGGCATGAACTCCTCGTAGATGTATGAGCCTGTCTTCCGCACACTGCTCTCTGGGGAGTAGACGCTGCTGCGGCTGCCAATCTGAAAGCGGCAGGGAGCACAGCCAGGTGAGGGCGCAGGTGGGCGGGCCAGGCCCTCTGGGATGCCCTCCCATGGCACTGGTTAACCACCACCGCTCTGGAGCAGGAGCTGAGGGACATGGAAGAGCCGCTGCCCGCAGCCCTCGAAGGCTGGACAGCAAGGCCAGGGATGCGTGGGGAGAAGCGGCCCGGCGGGGACACCAGCACTCCCTCCCCATGGCAACAGCTCCCACTTGCCGCTCCTTCTACGCGTTCCCCATCGCTGGAGCGCAAAGTGGGAGCAACCATTTCAAATTAGTACTTTTTACAAAATGTTATCCTCCCAAGCATATTGTTTTGTAGCAAACTTGATCCAAACAATCCCGTCATTTCCCGTCCCGTGAACAAACAAAAAGGCCCAAAGAAAACCACAATGTCCTTTGGGAACAGAAACACAGAAAGCTGAGCCAGCACCTTGGTCCATCCAGCCCAGGATGGCTGACACAGACTGGCAGCAGCAAGAACATCAGGCAGGTCGCCTCACTTTATCTGGGACCTCCCGTGTGCAGCGCGGGGGCTCACCCGGCAAGGTTCTCACAGAGGACCAAGTCCTGGTGGGTCTTGGAAATCAGGATGGAGAGCCTGCAAGGAGGCTGCCGCCACAATTCTTGCCATTCTTTGCCACTCTTAGAAACTTCAGCAGGCTCCATGCACCTCCCTCGGCCCCTCCTCACCTTGCGGAAGAGCCGCTGGCTGCCCCCACCTGCCGAGGTGGGATAGTAGATGTAGACATTGTGATCCTCTGCGCTGACGGGCTTCTCCACAAAGGGCTTAGGGAAAACGGCCCCATTCACCTCCACATGATCCTCGCCCTCCACAAGGTTGCATTCTGTGGTGGAGGCATGAGCGACACATCAGCGAGGGGCACACGGCCCCCCAGCCCCCCTTTCCCCCAAAGCCAAGGGGCCTCCCTGCTTCCCCCAGGGACACACCAGGGGTCCATGGCTGGCGGGTGGACTGGGATTGCCTGAAGAAGCCCCTGGCCCACCGCTGGCCCTCTTCTGCCAGGCCACTCACCGTCTGGCTTGTCAGGGTCTCGGTTGAGCACCGCGTAGCGGGGCAGGTCTATTCCCTCCTCCTGCAGGATCCGGTACACCTCCCGCCTGCAGGGACAAGCAGCAACAGGGGGCTGCCACCAGGACAGCCCTGCTCCCCACCTCGTTGGGCCCACAGAACGTCCAACACAAGCAGCAGCCCTCCCTGTGCCAGGCACAGAAGTGCCCCCCCCCCCACCGGGAAAGCCCTGCAAAAGCACTAGCCGTGCTCGGTCAGCTGGCAAGCTCAGCTGCCTTAGAGGAGAGAGGCCCTCCCCCTGCTGCTCTGCTTGGAAGCAGCCAAAGATTCGGAACAAGCAAATCCAGGCATGTTTATACGCCGCATCAAAAAAGGCCCAGCTGCGCGCAGTGAGTCACTCCCGGGAAGGCCCGCCTGAGCTAATAAGCCGTCCAGCTTCTGCTGCCTCTCTGTGCACCCTGGCCCTGGATTTCCAGGAAGTCGGCAGGCATGGCACAGGGACTCCCAGCCTTGTGTTCTGGAGCCACAGGGGCGGAAAAACTGCTTTCCAAAAGGTCGCTGCGAATTCTCGGCAGGCTGAGCTCTGCACCCGAGCACAGAGCCCGAGGCCTGGCGAGCAGCCCACCTCACACCAGCGCTTTACCTGTCCTGAATGTAATACTGCATGTTGAGGTCGTTAATCAGGAACGGACTGCGGAGCTTGGCATAAGCAACAGCCTTGTCCAGCGGAAACCCTGGAAGAGAGTGGGAGAAGCGGGAGTGGTGCCAGGCGGTGCCGGGCAGGAGTGGTGCAGCTGGCGGGCGAGGAGGCGAGCTCACCTTTGGAGTGGAAGGAGATGAGGCAGTGGCAGGGCGGCCAGTTCTCCACGGGCTCGTTCAGGATGACGTCCTCGCCCATGATCACCACCGTGATGTACTCGAACTTGCACAGCCGCTCCAAGATTTGGGTCATTGGCTTCGATTTGGATTTTTTGGTCATGGCACAAATGCCCACCACAATCTGCCGCTCTGGAGGCTGAGGAAATGGCAGGGCTTGGAACCAGGGCCAGGCCCCTCCTGCCTCGGGCAGCCCAGCCATACTCGGCAAATGTGGCAGGAAGGGGCAGGCGGAGCAAACAGCCATCGCGGAGACGCCGTCTCCGAGAGAGAAAGCCGGCAAAGTGGGATCGGGGCAGCAGCACCGCGTGGGACTCCCAGCTCCGTGGGAGCAGGGAAGAGATCCCAATGAAGGGTGGACAACGTGGCCACTTGGTATGTGGAGTCCGCAGCATCCTCGAGAGGACCCACAGAGTTTTCGCCACAGCCCAGAAGAACAGAGGATCCCAGTGCAGACGGTTGCCGCAGTCCGGCTGCTGTTTTGCCACCTCCGTCTCCACCCAAGAGAACACAGATGCTCCAGGCACCAGTTTTCCTGGGGGAGCCCAGGCCCTCCAATCGCACCTTGTGCACGTCGCCCCTCCAATCCTAGTGGCACACGCAGAAACCCGGGGCAAGGGGGTTACCGTTGAAACAAGTCCTGCCTCAGCACCAGCTGCCTTACCGACTCTTCCTCCTCCTCATCATCCTCAAAGAAGTCAATCTCATCCATCTTCATGTCTGATTCCAGGAAGTCCACTTCTTCATCTCGGGAACCCACAAAGAACTTGGCAGTGGTGGTATCGCCCTTAAGGCTGGTCGTCCAGGACGACATTCCAGTCTGGGTGGCCAATCATCCCCGCTCTGCAAACAAGCCAGAATCAGGAGATGGCCCGGACCAGCGAGGGCACCAGGAACAGGAGAGGAACCGCTGGGGCCGCAGAGATGTGGGCAAGTGGCAAGCCTTCTGCCTCCCCCAACGGGACGGGATGTCTCCACTCGCAAGTCCGCCAGGCGGCCTTACACTGCTGCATGGTTCGGCCGGGGGCTAAATCAGGTTGCTGGAGGAGGGGTGCCCGGCAACTGCTTCCTCTGGATCAACAGCCTTGAAGGGTGAGGCCGCTTTCCGCGGGCTGGTCCTTCACCAGTCCAGGAAGCCTGCAATGGGAAAGAGGTCAGTGTGGAAGGCCTCGCAGCAGCTCCAGCTCGGGAAAGAGATGCTTGGCGGGGTGAAGGGGCAGGCCTCCTGCTTGACTCACTGCGCCTCAGGCTCAGCTGGGGGAAGACGCTTCGCCTGGAGCCTGCACAGAGGCTGCGGGGGGGGGGGGGCACAACAAGCACAGGGAAGAGCAAAGCGGGCTTGCAAAAGGCATCCAGATAATTGCTCTGTTGCCGGAGAACTCCTTCTGAATAACCCCTAACCTTGAATCACCCTTTTCTGAGTCTGCAACTGAGCTAGCATGTCTTGGAAGTCTTTTGGCGAGCTCAGGCAATCTCGAGAATGGGAGCACACCCCTCTGAGCGCAAAGCACCAGTTTCCGGGGCAGGAGCGGAGTCCACAGGGCACGGCGCTGGCCCTCGCCGGGGAAGGGCGGCCCACGAGCACCCGAGCTTCACCCGGGGAGCCCCGGCTGTCCCTCAGCAGCCCGGAGACTGGCCTGACTATTGCCGGGCAAAAGCCCAGCGCGGGAAGCGCAATGGATGTGCAAGCACGGATTTAATTGGCGTCGCTCACTAATTGCACAGGATTCGCCCGTACCGGCCGCTTCCCGCGTTCTACCAATTATCTCACGGGGGGCGCGGGGGGGACCAGCGCCGGACGCAGCGAGTTACCTCGCCCGGGCCGAGCCTCCTGCGAACGGCAGAGCGCTCCCGTTCGTGGCTCCCATCACTCCCGACCCTGGGCATGCTGGCCAGGGATGATGGCCAGAAGGCCACCAGTTGCCGAGCTCCGGCGCAGCCCGGCAGGCCGTTCCCACGGAAGCCCAGAGCCGCGCCGGGGAGGGCCGACCGGGCGGGCCCGAGCGCCTCAGTCCCGGCCAGGCGCTGCCGCCCTGAAGTGCGGAGCCGCCCCGCAGATGCACGCCGCCCTCCGGCGACCCTCGCCTCGCCGCGGGGGAGCGGCGGCGGAGGGAAGAAGCGGCCCGGCGGGAAGCCTCCCTGCCGCCCCTCCCCCTCCCCCTCGCCCGGCCCGGCCCCTCCCCCCTCCCGGGGGCCCCCAGCCCCGCCGGCCCGCCCGCTGTCCACTGACCCGATCAGCCTCCGGGCACAGCCTAACCCGGCAGTGCAGCGCCAAGCGGTGACCAATGGCCGCGTCCTGATCGCGGAGCGCCAGCCAATCAGCGCGCGGCGCAGGCAGCCTGCGCCAAGGTCAGACAGCCTCGCCCGCCGCTCCTGCGGCGCCCTCTGCTGGGCAGCGGCGGGAGGGCGGCTGCTTCCGCGCTCGGCTCGCGCGTGCCTGGGCGCAGCGGCGGGGAAGCGGGAGCGGAGGCGCCCGGGGGAGGCGGGCGGGACCGGGCGTCTGCGCTCTGCCAGGGGAGATTTTCCGCAGCCATAGGAACGCGTGGCGAGCCCTGCTGGATCAGACCTAAGGTGCCTCTAGTCCTGCACTCCACGGGCTCCGGGGCAAACGCTGCGCAGAAGTTCCTTCAGGCAGGGTGACTGAAAGCCCTCCTCCGGCCCAAGCCCCTCCGCCACTGGCCGAGCAGCAAGCGCGCAGCCACGGATCGCCTCCTCCCTCGTGAATGGAGCCAATCCCTTTTAAAGCCATCGGGACTGGCGGCCACCCACTCTTCCCCCAGCAGCCCTATCCATTCCACATGCTCAGTCGCCTCAGCTTACAAGCTTCCCCAAGAAACCAAGCCTCTAAGTGTTACCTGAACCTGAAACATGTCAGGCCCTGAGCTGGCCAAAACCCATGCTGCCCGGGGCAGCTCTGGGTAAGCACTGGCGGCAGCTGCCCCAAAGTACCCAAGCAGCACTCAGGGTGCCTCCTGGGGAACCACTGCAGCTGCCACATGAAAGCGTTGGCAGCTGCAGCAGCACAAGGACATCATTGCTTGGGCTTATTCAGGTCAATGGCTTAAAAGCCACCCTGTGTGGCCACTCTGTGCTGTATGGCTTATTTTCTGCAAACCATTTTGACCCTTTGTCGTCTTTGTTTAAAGCCTGCAAAAACCCTGAGCTTCTGCTGAAATGGTTCCTGGCAGTCCCAGGGCAAAGCAGCACTTCACCGCTGGAATTGTTTGCTTGTCTGAAAAGCCCAGTTTGTCCTGGTTATGTGTATCTCGCTGGGCTGTGTTCACTGACAAACTCAAGGTTCTAAGATTCATCAGAGCCCTTCTCACAGCCCATGCACCCGGTCCTCTAAGTGCCCAACCTGGTCTATTTTTGAAATAGTTTTGGTTGGAAACCAAGCCACGTCCAAGCAGCTTTGCCCAGATCATCTACTGGAAAGTGTGGAAATGAAGAGCCAGTGGGAAGGAGCAATTGGGCTTCCTCATTTGGCAGGCCTTCTTGCCTTTACAGCAGTATTGTCATCAGCCATGACCTCCAGAAGGGCTGGAGAAGACACAGGAGGCCAGAATGAAGTGCCTTGCACCACACGGATGACTGCAGGTCTGCGTCCTTGAGAGGGCAGGCAGATGGTACGCAAGTGGAAGACATGCCTATCCCGAGTCCTGCAGCCCCCGTTCTTTCTGGGTGGCCACTGACAGGAAGAAGTCTTGCTGCACCAGCCTCTTCCCCTCCCCTCCGAAGAGGAAGCCCTGAAAGAAGCAGGAGCACTTGATCCTGGAAGGAAGCAGGTGACAGATTCTTCATGTGACCTCTGCTGCCCTGCCCTGTGCCAGCTCCTTTTGGGTTGTCCTGGACGTGCAAGGGTGCCACCACACAGATGGTAGTGGAGGCTACTTGTCTAATGGATTGGGAGGGGGCATAAGGGGCCTACATGCACAGTTACATTCTGCCCTGAGTGCTTTTTCCACAAAATGTCAGAAGAGCCGTGTTCTTTTCATTGTTTCCAGACTGTGAGCAATCTCTGACCAGATTTGTATCACCTGATCTGTAATTAAAGCAGCTTCCTTAAACAACTTGTCCAAACAGTTAGGAAAATGCTATGAACTTTGGTCTTTATTTACGCCATATTAATAGCAGAATCTTAAAAAGGTGCTTTCATTAATATCCTTTCTTCCCCTCTAGATTAAATCTTTTGAGTTTGTGGGGTGTCTGGTAAGGGTCAGCCCCCCTGACCCTTCACAGGAAGTTGAAAATGGTTTTAATGCATTGCTTACATTCTTTTGTTTGTTTCTATCTTGCAGAGTTCACTGTTCCAGAAACTGTTTGGAAATGCTGCAAGTAAATAAATACTATTAGTCACATCCACTTTAATTTTGTTATTCTCTTGCCTATTTTGTGATGATGGATTTGCACTATGCACAGATGCCATATTCTTCTAGGATTTGCACAGTGCTCCTCAGCTCAGTTTTGGAATCTGTTAATGTCTAGGCAGTATCGTCAGCCTATGGGTGTAGGATGCACCCTCCCTCCCATTTTCCCGTACCTGAATTCTGACCAAGAGCAGATCCTAGCTAGCGGTTCCTAAGCAAAAGCAGATGTTCCAGCACAAAAGTAAGTGGAGGGAGACTGATAACACTCGCAATCCATCAGTTTTCAAAGAAACTTGTGATGCCATGACTCACCGGGACGCCTCAAAGGTTTCCCTGACCAGGCATGCCTCTGGACACACGCGGACTTGTGCCCACGCACTTTCAGATGAAATGGCATGTAATATTGCCGTGTTTCATATGAAACAGAAGCACTCAGAACCAGCCTTCCTGCTATGCTGCCTCATGGCTGTTCCTGCTGCACATTCCTATCCTGCCCCTGCGTGGACGTGTGGATAAGCTCTGCATTCAAGCCGGAATGCCTTCCACAGCCTCATTCATGACTAACACTCCCATTCTCCTTTTGAAGGGAGGTGGAGAAGCAGCAGCCCAGGAGGGGCAGTGAAGATGGGCTGGTGCTGTTATCTGGCCAAACAAGATAAGCTGGGCTCTAGCAAAACTGCTCCTTCAGAGAACAGGAGAAAATGAGCGGGCAGGAAGCTCCAAGTCTTTCCGCTGCACCCACTTCCAGATTCTCTGATATTTCTGGCTGAGACATTGTCAGTTTGTGGCTCTTGCCACCATCTTGCAGAAGAGAGCAAAGGTCACGCTGAATACATGACTGCAGTCCTTTGGACACACCTGCCAACAGATTAAAAAAATCAAACAAACCCAGGCAGCTGCAGCAGTTTGTAATTCTTTAGAAAGGCATAGAAAAGAAGCGACCTTGATGGACCAGAAGCTCTTTGCCACCCTAGGACACCAGTGGATTATCTGCTAAAAAGATCCCATCACAGAGAGTTGCCTGACCAGGAATATGGGTGACCCTCGTAAAGAGTGAATGCAAGAGCTTGCTGGGGCTCCGACACAGGGGGAGGGTCCCTCTCAGAATAAGTGAAGGGGAATTCACAGAAGATCCTCCTCGCTGGGCAGAAGGTCTTCCCGAGGCCAGCCGCACAGTTTTCCCTCTTGTGGCAGGCGGCTTCCCAGCATCATGCACTCGACCCTGTGCGTCCTCCTCAGAATGCCCCCTTTTGGAGCTGCTCGCTTTGCTCCTCCCCTCCTTCCTATACTTCCCGACCTGTCCTTGCAGCTGCCTGTTCCTGCCTGTAGCCCAGCACACAGTCCTCTCTATGCCTTCAGAGTCTTCCAAAGCAAAGGTGCAGCTCCTGCCCTGAACCCTCGCAAGTGACAAGGGCCGCTCCTGCTACAGCAGCCTGCCTGGGGAGATCTGGCCCTGAGGAAACGCTTGCCTCGCTCTGTCAACAACGCTGGTCTGAGGCTGTGCCAGCCCTGCACTGGAATAGCACCAGCAGCAGAGGCAGCTGGACGCATTGCTCTTGTGCTGGTGGAAAAGCTGCTGTGTTTGAGGCAGAGGAGAGGGAAGGCAATAATGCACGCTGGGAAAAATCTTAAGAAAGTGGGGGAGCTGCCAGGAGCTCCTCTGCCTGATCCTTTCCCTCAGATCAGGACAAAAGGCTCTAAGGGAGAAGCGTCCACGTTAAACACTGACGCCTCCCTCCTCCCTCCCGTGCTCACACAGCAGGAAGAGACTCTGTGGCACATCTGGCTTGACAACAGAATGCGGTTAGATGGACTCATACTCCTCCACTGGTACCCTCTTTGTGGCTTAGTATCTTCCAACCCCTCCCTTCCTTCTCTAGCTCATTTTCAGAGGCTGAACTTTCTACCTTGGAATGCTCTGGTTTGGGAGAAGGAAGCCCAAGCCCTAAGAAGGCCTGAAACAGAGAAGTCGCCAATGAACTCAGGTTGCTGTAGACCACAAGGAGGCTACCCTTTTTTATTACTGTCTTGTCAGTGTCCCAGAGTATTTGCCAAGTCCTCTGCCTCAAGAGAGGGCAAGCAAAATTGGATGGGGGCAGATGACACCACTGCCACCAAATCCCTGTGGGCTGAACGATGTCAAAGGAAGCATGGCCATGCCCTGAGCATCATCTGGTTCACTGCAGGAGCCTCGTGGTACGTCAGCCTGGCACTGATTTTGCTGCCTGCATCTTCTGCCACTCCCACTGTCTGGGAGACAGTTCCTCCAGCTTAGCTGCGGCAGCTTCTCCAGTGGAGAAGGCACATCACAGGTAAATCCCCCACCTGTCCACAAGCCCTCGAAGGGAAGTCCTAAGTTACCTACAATCACAGCCTGGAGATAGTAAAGAGCAGTCCTCCAGGGGCTGTGGCTGGATGGGTCACTTCCACATGCTGGATTAGGCCTATGGGTAAACATTGCCTTCCCTGGCTACAGGCCACTGGACAGCATGATCCTTCACAACAGGATCCCTTTGGGAAGAACTTGTTCATGGGACCACGTTTTTGATGAAAACTGATCTCCGTTCGTGGTCACAAGGCTTTCCTCGCCTTGGTCCCGAGGGAAGACACCTTGGCCTGCTCCGCCAGAGCACTCACTCATCAGCACTTCCCTGGCTCTTTCCTCCTGCCACCAAGGACCCATAAATCTCTCCACCTTCTGCTGGGTGAGTCTTTCCCTGCATGGCCGCATTTATTGTCCCAACTGTGCAGAGAATGTGACACAACAACCCACTTCAAAGGGTTGTTGTGAGGCTAGATGGGGTGGGGGAGGACTACACAAGCCACCTCGGGTTCCTTGCAAGAGGAGAAAGGTGGGGCATAAATGTGATTTGAATGAAGCTCCCTGTGCGAACCGCACTGAATAGGGGTCGTGCCCACGGGAGCGCGGGATGCGCAGGTGGGTGCACCTGGCCAGGCGAGGCAGGTGGAGGGCGCCCAGAGGGGCCCTCAGGCCAGCCCTGCTGCCTCTTGCACAGGGCCAGGCCACAGCGCTGGGGCGCCAGGCCGACGCCGAGGGCGAGGCTGGGCCGGGCCGGCTTTGCTGCCCGCCAAGGGCGGGCGCCCTTCCAAGCAGGACCTGGAGGGCTGGGCGCGGCGGCGGCGCTGCTGCCCGGCTCGTCCCGGGCGTGTCCCGCGGAAGCTGGACTTTGCCCTCCCGCGGCCGAGCCCGGCAGGAGGCTCCCTGCAGCGCCCGCTCGCCGGGTCGGGCCAAGCCCTCCTTGCCGCCGAGGCCGGGGCGACAGGAGGGGGCGCCGCCGAGTGGCGAGGCGCCCGGAGGGCCCCGGCGCCGCGCTCCCCTGCCCCGCAGCCGCGGAGCTGGCGCGCCTCCCGCCCGGGCGCTGTCCGACGCGCGGGTGCTGAAGCACGTGGGGAGCTGGCCGCTCGCGGGGCAGCTGGCGGGCGGCCAGGCCGGGCCGGGCTGGGCCGGGCTGGGCTGGGCTGGGCCGGGCCGGGCTAGACGGGGGGGGGGGGGGGG